TTGGAGTATCAGCTTAGACTATGTGATTTCAAGTCCTGACCTGGGGCTTGAACCCACAATCTTCTGACTCAGGTGAAAATAACAGTAAAACATCAACGCATTTTACAGAACGTGATGCATGCAAAAAGGAGACGTGCATAGAGAAATGGGGACATGTGTGGATTATAATCAAATGCAAGGATTATTATTATTATTATTATGTAACTCTATTGATTAGTGTTTTCGTGAAGCAGCAGAAGTTGCTATCCGTGATGAATATTGCATTTTTGCCCCTCACCCTTTACCTTTTAAATTTTCAGCATCAATTTCAATTTCAATCATATCTGTCAAATTTTCAGAATAACTTTACAAACTGTGCAACATCAACTGTTGAGATAAAAAAATGCTTTGTGGCATAAACAAGCAGAATTTAAATAAATAGTGTTGATAAGAAACTTGCAATGTTTGTCTGCGCATTGTGAAATCTCAGATCCCATGGCTTCCAGTCTGCACGTACAGTGATTGTTTCCTGGCCATCTTCCAAGGGCAATGAATCAAGGTAACCTTTGTAGATATATGGTAAATTCCTGATAACTCGTCACTCTAAGGGAGATAGGGCTCAGTGTCGAGTTATCAGGAATGGCAAGTTGGGCATATGTATAAATACACAAATAAATGTGACAGGGATATTGACAGCACTATGACTTATGTGGTGGTGACAGATTAAGCCAGGCTCGAGTTATCAGGAGTTTACTGTAGTTGAAACAATCGTCCTTATTTAAAGTTACAGTTTCCTCTTGCCAAACTTGACAAAAATCCCTGAACAGATTAGGCATCTGTTAGACATGTTTTTCTTCTATAAAGAAGCCTGTTAGAGGAAGTATAATCGCAATACACATAGGCAGCTGCAAGCAAAATCCAAAGACCACTTTTAGCTGAGTTAACAGTAGAGAGAAGGTTAAGACTACATTAATAATGTGTGCAATTGACATAGCTTATCATGGTATCAAGACATCTCAAAGGGCTTCATAGGATGTTACTGTGAAGTGTAGTGATGGTGTATTTGTAGGCGAATACGGCAACCAATCTGCTGAACCTTACAAAGGTGTAATTTTTTAAAAATAGGATTGAAAAAGTAAACCCAGGGCAATACTTTCAGATGCACCAAGGCAGTAGTAGGCATAGGTTTAGAGTTGCAAAGTGCAATTTTAGGACAGACAGCAGGAAATATTTATTTACTTAGAGGGTGATTTAACAACTGGAATGCAAATCTGAGTGATGGGTATTATATAAATGCAAATTGTTGTTGCCATTGTTATTCTTATAACATGTTACCAGGAAGGGTGGTTGAGACCAGGACACTGGACTCTTTTATAAACAGTTTGATATGGTGATGGAAGTACGGTAGGGTGGTATTCTGGAAGGATGAGTTCAGATGCACCAAAAGGCTTTCTTCATTTGACCAATCTTGTGATCAAGTACAATTTGAAAACAATTCACCCTGAGTTCTGATCCTATCATTACACATGAACTTGACTCAGACTCCATTTTGAAATGGTTTGGTAAAAATTCTTGGACTTTCATGAACTTTCTTAAAGTGTGTGTGGGTTGGGGGGGCGGGGTGCGGGGAGATGAAGGCTGACAACAAGAAGTCAATGCTGTGGTTTGCATTTATTTTGAAGATAATGACCTAAATATTTTACTCCCACCCGTTCTTATCTGAATGATGCAAAACATTGATAAACTAACTGGTTATTTAACTTGGACTACGAGCAAAGAACCGGAGGACATGAGTGTAAGATTAACAAAGACCGGAGATAAGAGCTTTATTTTCTCCCACAACATTGTAGACATGCAGAGTAGATGCTTATAAAAGGTCTTAGACTCTTATTGATCCTCTCAATAAACTCCTTTAAAATTGAACCGGATGACAAAACTAAGAAGGAATTTGAATTCAGAAAATTCAAATAGAGGGTAAGCATGCAACTGATAATAATAAATAATAAACTTCGCATTTGATATAGCGCCTTATCATTTCAGTGAGATGTCTCAAAGCGCTTCAAATTTTTGCTATGACATGTAGTGACTGTGTACTTGTAGGCTAATAAACAGCTAATTTGCACACAGCAATATTTCACAAAGAGCCACAAAATGAATGACCAAGTTATCTGGAGGACTGCTGACCAGGACCAGGACACCAAGAGAAACTCCCTTCTCTTTTCAGGTGACTGGGAAAACGGATCTTAGTTTAACGCCTCATCTGAAGGACGTTATTTCTGGAAACCCATTGGACACCCAGCACTGCACTGGAGTGTTGCCCTAGACTGTGAGTTCAAAGTCCTGATGTGGGGTTTGAACCCACAACCTTCTGATTCAGATCCAAGAATACTACTAATGGACAATGGGTGTCAGTTATGAGAAATGAATGTTAATTGTGAGAATTTTTTTTCTCCCCTTTTCTGTCTCCTGAAACTCCAAATATACTGTCTCATTGAGATGTTGAGATCAGAACTCATGGTAAATGGTTTGGTTTGGATACTGTTAAGCACGGTGATGGGACTCCGCATTTATGTGTCAGACACCCGGTTGACTGAAAAAAAATTCCAATGCAGACACGAGGAAATGTTGGTGTGTGAGTACCGTACACTTGTGGGGCTCTCGATGCTCTGTGGTCTTGAGGGTGGTGGCAGTGTACAGGAGGAGAGTGGCAGTGCCCAATTGGCACCCGGGCCCACCCATTTTTCTCCGCGCTGCCTCAGACCTCCCGCTCCGCCTCTCTTCCTGTCATTCTCCGAGCAAGGTAGTGTGGAGGGCGAAGGGAAGAGGGGTGGAGCAGAAGGGATGAAACAGCTCGGAATGGAAATTTGGTCATTGAGTGTCCACCACAATAATAAGACAATAATAATCCTTGCATTTGGTATAGCGCGTTACAGTGTTGTTCCAACGGCTCAAAGAGCTCCATAGGATGTATTGTGAAGTGGCCTGACTGTGGATTATGTGGGTGAAACACGACAGCCAATTGTGCACAGCAATGTCCCACAAACAGCCGTAGAGCGAATGACTCCATTTGGGGTGTCAGTGCCCAAACAAATTTCCAATCCTAGCGACAACACCAGGTGGTGGTGGTGGGATTGCCCTGGTGTGGTGTCACCACTGCCAGCCTGAGCCAGCCTCTGGTTGATTGACAAGAGGGCGTGTCCACCCCAGGCCTCTGGTTGATTGACAAGAAGGCGTGTCCACCCCAGGCCTCTGGTTGATTGACAAGAGGGCGTGTCCACCCCAGGCCTCTGGTTGATTGACAAGAGGGCGTGTCCACCCCAGGCCTCTGGTTGATTGACAAGAGGGCGTGTCCACCCCAGGCCTCTGGTTGATTGACAAGAGGGCGTGTCCACCCCAGGCCTCTGGTTGATTGACAAGAGGGCGTGTCCACCCCAGGCCTCTGGTTGATTGACAAGAGGGCGTGTCCACCCCAGGCCTCTGGTTGATTGACAAGAGGGCGTGTCCACCCCAGGCCTCTGGTTGATTGACAAGAGGGCGTGTCCACCCCAGGCCTCTGGTTGATTGACAAGAGGGCGTGTCCACCCCAGGCCTCTGGTTGATTGACAAGAGGGCGTGTCCACCCCAGGCCTCTGGTTGATTGACAAGAGGGCGTGTCCACCCCAGGCCTCTGGTTGATTGACAAGAGGGCGTGTCCACCCCAGGCCTCTGGTTGATTGACAAGAGGGCGTGTCCACCCCAGGCCTCTGGTTGATTGACAAGAGGGCGTGTCCACCCCAGGCCTCTGGTTGATTGACAAGAGGGCGTGTCCACCCCAGGCCTCTGGTTGATTGACAAGAGGGCGTGTCCACCCCAGGCCTCTGGTTGATTGACAAGAGGGCGTGTCCACCCCAGGCCTCTGGTTGATTGACAAGAGGGCGTGTCCACCCAGGCCTCTGGTTGATTGACAAGAGGGCGTGTCCACCCCAGGCCTCTGGTTGATTGACAAGAGGGCGTGTCCACCCCAGGCCTCTGGTTAATTGATAAGAGGGCGTGTCCACCCCAGGCCTCTGGTTGATTGACAACAGGGCGTGTCCACCCCAGGCCTCTGGTTGATTGACAAGAGGGCGTGTCCACCCCAGGCCTCTGGTTGATTGACAAGAGGGCGTGTCCACCCCAGGCCTCTGGTTGATTGATAAGAGGGCGTGTCCACCCCAGGCCTCTGGTTGATTGACAAGAGGGCGTGTCCACCCCAGGCCTCTGGTTGATTGACAAGAGGGCGTGTCCACCCCAGGCCTCTGGTTGATTGACAAGAGGGCGTGTCCACCCAGGCCTCTGGTTGATTGACAAGAGGGCGTGTCCACCCCAGGCCTCTGGTTGATTGACAAGAGGGCGTGTCCACCCCAGGTCTCTGGTTGATTGACAAGAAGGCGTGTCCACCCCAGGCCTCTGGTTGATTGACAAGAGGGCGTGTTCACCCCAGGTCTCTGGTTGATTGACAAGAAGGCGTGTCCACCCCAGGCCTCTGGTTGATTGACAAGAGGGCGTGTCCACCCCAGGCCTCTGGTTGATTGACAAGAGGGCGCGTCCACCCCAGGCCTCTGGTTGATTGACAAGGGGGCGTGTCCACCCACGGCCTCTGGTTGATTGACAAGAGGGCGTGTCCACCCCAGGCCTCTGGTTGATTGACAAGGGGGCGAGTCCACCCCAGGCCTCTGGTTGATTGACAAGAGGGCGTGTCCACCCCAGGCCTCTGGTTGATTGACAAGAGGGCGTGTCCACCCAGGCCTCTGGTTGATTGACAAGGGGCGAGTCCACCCAGGCTCTGGTTGATTGACAAGAGGGGCGTGTCCACCCCAGGCTCTGGTTGATTGACAAGGGGGCGAGTCCACCCCAGGCCTCTGGTTGATTGACAAGAGGGCGTGTCCACCCCAGGCCTCTGGTTGATTGACAAGGGGGCGAGTCCACCCCACGGCCTCTGGTTGATTGACAAGGGGGCGTGTCCTGAGGCCGCGGACACAGTCACCGCTTCGTCATCCACTGACTGCGCATGTGCGGAGGCTGTGGTGGAGAGTGTGAGCAGTAATAAACCTCGTGACCGGGGCCTCGGACACCGACCCTCACAGCGGCCATTACCGACACCGCAACCACACACACTGACTGTGAGTGTACAGGGAGTGTGTCAGTGAGTGTGTAGGGGAGTGTGTCAGTGAGTGTGTAGGGGAGTGTGTCAGTGACTGTGAGTGGACAGGGAGAGTGTCAGTGTAGGGGGAGTGTGTCAGTGAGTGTGAGTGTGTAGGGGAGTGTGTCTGTGAGTGTGAGTGTGTAGGGGAGAGTATCAGTGAGTGTGTAGGGGAGAGTGTGTCAGTGACTGTGAGTGTGTAGGGGAGTGTGTCAGTGAGTGTGAGTGTGTAGGGGGAGTGTGTCAGTGACTGAGTGTGTAGGGGGGAGTGTGTCAGTGAGTGTGAGTGTGTAGGGGGGAGAGTGTTAGTGACAGTGAGTGTGTAGGGGAGTGTGTCACTGACTGTGAGTGTGTAGGGGGGAGAGTGTCACTGACTGTGAGTGTGTAGGGGGGAGAGTGTTAGTGACTGTGAGTGTGTAGGGGAGTGTGTCAGTGACTGTGAGTGTGTAGGGGGGAGAGTGTCAGTGACTGAGTGTGTAGGGGGGAGAGTGTCAGTGACTGTGAGTGTGTAGGGGGGAGAGTGTCAGTGACTGTGAGTGTGTAGGGGGGAGAGTGTCAGTGAGTGTGAGTGTGTAGGGGGAGTGTGTCAGTGAGTGTGAGTGTGTAGGGGGGAGAGTGTCACTGACTGAGTGTGTAGGGGGGAGTGTGTCACTGACTGAGTGTGTAGGGGGGAGTGTGTCAGTGACTGTGAGTGTGTAGGGGGGAGAGTGTCAGTGACTGTGAGTGTGTAGGGGGGAGAGTGTCAGTGACTGTGAGTGTGTAGGGGGAGAGTGTCAGTGACTGTGAGTGTGTAGGGGGGAGTGTGTCACTGACTGTGAGTGTGTAGGGGAGAGTGTGTCACTGACTGTGAGTGTGTAGGGGAGTGTGTCACTGACTGTGCGTGTGTAGGGGGGAGAGTGTCAGTGAGTGTGAGTGTGTAGGGGGGAGTGTGTCACTGACTGTGAGTGTGTAAGGGGGAGAGTGTCTGTGAGTGTGTAGGGGGGAGTGTGTCACTGACTGTGAGTGTGTAGGGGAGAGTGTGTCACTGACTGTGAGTGTGTAGGGGGGAGAGTGTCAGTGAGTGTGAGTGTGTAGGGGGGAGTGTGTCACTGACTGTGAGTGTGTAGGGGGAGAGTGTCAGTGAGTGTGAGTGTGTAGGGGGGAGTGTGTCACTGACTGTGAGTGTGTAGGGGGGAGAGTGTCAGTGAGTGTGAGTGTGTAGGGGGAGAGTGTCAGTGACAGTGAGTGTGTAGGGGGGAGAGTGTCAGTGACAGTGAGTGTGTAGGGGAGAGTGTCACTGACTGTGCGTGTGTAGGGGAGAGTGTCAGTGAGTGTGAGTGTGTAGGGGGGAGAGTGTCACTGACTGTGAGTGTGTAGGGGGGAGAGTGTCACTGACTGAGTGTGTAGGGGGGAGAGTGTCACTGACTGAGTGTGTAGGGGGAGAGTGTCAGTGAGTGTGAGTGTGTAGGGGGAGAGTGTCAGTGACTGTGAGTGTGTAGGGGGGAGAGTGTCAGTGACTGTGAGTGTGTAGGGGGGAGAGTGTCAGTGACTGTGAGTGTGTAGGGGGAGAGTGTCAGTGACTGTGAGTGTGTAGGGGGGAGTGTGTCATTGAGTGTGTAGGGGGGAGTGTGTCAGTGACTGTGAGTGTGTAGGGGGGAGAGTGTCACTGACTGTGAGTGTGTAGGGGAGAGTGTCAGTGACTGAGTGTGTAGAGGAGAGTGTCAGTGACTGTGAGTGTGTAGGGGGGAGAGTGTCAGTGACTGAGTGTGTGGGGCGGAGGTGTCAATGACTGTGGATGTGCGGGTGAGGGGGGAGTGTCAGTGACTGAGCGTGCAGGGGGAGCGACTGAGCGTGCAGGGGGAGCGACTGAGCGTGCAGGGGAGCGACTGAGCGTGCAGGGGGGACTGAGCGTGCAGGGGGAGCGACTGAGCGTGCAGGGGGAGCGACTGAGCGTGCAGGGGGAGCGACTGAGCGTGCAGGGGAGCGACTGAGCGTGCAGGGGGAGCGACTGAGCGTGCAGGGGGAGCGACTGAGCGTGCAGGGGGAGCGACTGAGCGTGCAGGGGGAGCGACTGAGCGTGCAGGGGGAGCGACTGAGCGTGCAGGGGGAGCGACTGAGCGTGCAGGGGGAGCGACTGAGCGTGCAGGGGGGAATTTCAGTGACTGGTTGTGCACGGGAGGAGTGTCAGTGAGTACGTGAGTGAGAGTGACTGTGCCGGGGGAGTGTCGGGGGCGTCTATCTCACAGTCCCTCTGTCTAACCCGCTCTCTTGCCTCCCTCAAGTCCCCGTCTAAAGACCTTCCTCTCTGACAGTGCCTTCGGCCGCCCTCCCACCGCCACCCTCCTTGTCTCCTGAGCCCGGCCTCCCAGCCCTGGAACAAAACATCGTGACGCTCCGGCGCCCTCGGACTTCTTTCTGACGTGAAGTGCATTGTACAAGTGTCCTTTATTTGTTGTTGCGTGCACCGGGAGAATGGCAGTGCACTGAGTTTGTGGGTTTGATGTCTCACCACCTCCCCCAGTGCTGCTCTGGGTGAACTTTCACGTTTGTCACACTAGTTTGGGCTGAGATGCTGAGCTCAGGTTTTGACACGGAGCTTGAATCCGCAACCTCCTGCTATTCAGTCATGAGTTACTGTAATGTACGGTTCAACGTTAGAAAATATTTTGGATTAGCATTTCAAAGGTGCAGTTATCACGTTTCAGGTCAGATCCAAACTATTGTGTTATCGGACATTACAGTAATTCAAGTCGTTTTGGAAACCGGTTTTATTGCTGGAGTTTGCTTGCAGCTTGTTTTCCGGAGACCGAAAGTCATGTACTGTTTATTTTGTATTGAACAAGTCATCTTTGTACATTAGTCCTAGCACGCAGGGAAATAATTCTCGTTGCACTTTTGTTCCAAACATTTGCCTTGGATCTACCACGTCAAAAAAGTAATTGTTGAGGAGTACAGTAATTCTGTATATCTTGAAAGGATAATAATTTTCTAGAAGTGGGTCACATTATATATAGATTTGCGAAACAGTTGCAAATGCTGACTTGAACTTTCAAGTGTGTAACACAACCAAACCTGAGATACTGAACTTTGATTTTCTAACCTGGTTTATGATGTTAACTCAGCCCCACGATGGGTCACTGCCCTGACTATCCTCTGGTGTGAGGGCTGCGAGTGGGTCTGCTTGGAGCTGAACTGCACCCCCCCCACCCCACCCCAGCTGCTGTGCACAATGATGATGTTAACGTTGCACCCCAGGAGGGAGGGTGCAGAAAGTGTAGGGACACGCGGGATGTTCTGTTTGAGGTAGGCGCGGGAAACAAAGTTTTGATCTGGCAGCCAGTAAGTTCGGTCGCGGCCCGTTCGTTATCAGTGTTACAAAGTGTTACACCGTGATTAATACGACTAGTGCATATACATTTAAGTGGATTTAATAGGTAATTGAATGGGACTTGGGTGGATGTAACGACTTACATGATTTATGCAGATCAAACCTATTCCAGTTTAACTTGTAGCTCTACTTTTTTAATCTTCCCTTTTCTGCACTCTTGCTTGAAGTCACTATTTAGTGTTGAGTAGCATGGGTTCGAGTTGCCCTCCTAACCACGTTCATTCCCAGGAAAGGGATTATCATACTAGCCCCATCATGTTCTCATTTGATTTCCCCACACCTATACTTTCAGGCAGGATTGATGGTAATCCTATATGATCATGTCCTGAAACCCTCCCAAGCGTGAGATTTCTGATCTAATTCTGGCTAAAATGAGCAAACTTTGTTCAGATCGGGATCACAATACTATAGTTTCATTTTTATAGTGTTCAAAATATCAATGAATTGATGCGAATGAATTGTCTGAGTCGGCCAGTTTAGGAAATAATGTAACTTCCTACTCAATACATGAAAATGTAATCATTGGAGTTGACTATGTATATTAAAATGTACAGACATAATCTTTAAAATAATAATAATCCTTGCATTTGATATAGCACTTTTCACATCTCCGAGATGTCTCAAAGCTTTCAAAATGTTGTTTGTTATGATCAAAGAGTAACTATCCTATTTGGGGTCAATCTAGCTGCAAGTAAACATGACTGGCGATGGATAAGTGAAGTTGACTCAAGTTGACAGGAAGGTCCAGACTATTTCAAGGGGAATTTGAACCACTCTACATGGCTCATCAGTGGGAATTGTTGGGTTCGTAGATATGTCACTGAAAAGGTCATGATTCTTCTCGTGACTGTTGTTAACCAATACCCAAAGGATAGGGTAGTCTTAGCTGAAGGAGCAATAATATTGTGTTTTTCTGGTTAAGTTGTAGCAGTTTCCGACTGCAGATTTGAGACCCCTCGGCTTCTGTCGGCTTGCGGGTAAAATACCTTACTGGCTAGCAGTGATACTTGTAATGGCTGGTGTTTGCTTTCATCAACTCTTCTAGCTATATGTCCATTATGGGGGCCAATGGTGCATTCACGAGTACCACCAGTTTATTATCTGTTCCCAAAACGCAAGCTTTGTAATAAGATGGTGCCCCTGGGAATCCAGTCAGTTAACTGTATATGTAGTGTTCAGATGTTCCCCGTCTGCATATGAGACAATAGATATTAGCAGTTAGGTAGCCTTGTATCAAGGAATCAGATGTCATAAATTGTTGTCTGAAACGATTGTAGTATTAACCTTTACATGAATATAACAGTTTCTATATCATTTTTTGCAGTGCATGCAAAAAATTGTTTGATCTCTCAGAGAAAGTGGCTTTTTTTTGCCAGTACGGTAAATGATATTGTGGCAGACACTATTCAGTGCATTCTATCTTGGGTAGCAACCTCTTGTTGATAGATACAGTAAATGATTGAGTCTGTGATAATATGCAGTATCAAATGATTAGTGAGAATATTATAGCAATTATTCTGCGATTCTAGAATTATAAGAAATTAATATTGTATATTGTCATTTACCAATAAATACACAGCCACTACATTTTACAGTGAAATCCTGTGAAGCATTTTGAGACGTTCCCATGACATGATGTATCAAATACAAGGATTATTATTATAACATGGCTTTCCAGAACCAATCATTTTGTATGTTATGACATGTCCTCTATTACCATCTTCCTACCCACCTTCCCCAGGGAGGGGTTCTATTCTGAACTATTTGTAACTTCATTGTGCAGGCATGTTATTTCAAAGGAATTAAAGTTTAAATATGTGTATTTTTTAGGTGATTCTTCTCCACCGTGCTTCCGAAAACCATGAGTAACCCATACTCTGACCTTGTGGAATCCCTGGATCCTAACATAAAGGAAAAGAAGTTCTACAATATCAGCAGTTTAAAAGACGCCAGATATGGTAAGGAAGGCCAGCTGCTCTTGTTGAAGTGTCGCTGGTCCAGTAAGTGATTTTTTTTCTCTACATGAGCCAGGCATGTTTAATCTTGACACATGGTGTAAAAAGTAGGAAAAGCTTTCAATCACCAGTTCTGACTTCCTTAGCTTTGATGAACGCAAAATCATAATGTGAAGGAATAAATATTTGGCAGGTTTCATTTATCCAACATTTATGGCATTTTTCTATCTGTCAAGTACAATTTTTAGGGGTATATCCCTCATTTTAAACTACATTTTTATTTTTTTTGCTGTTTCAAAATTTTCTCTGCATAATTTTGAGAAGCTCAATATACTGTAGTTCCAACAATCTTACGACATCTTACGATGTGATTCTAACCCTCAATAATGCAGAACATTTTTTTCACTAATTAGTGACTCGAAGAGGATAACAAAGTAGTGTTGCTGTAAATATTTTATTATGAAATTGTCTTTCAGTTCTTTTGGGTTTCTTATTGTAGCTCACTGATGTGTTTGCCAGAGCTCTTGTAATGTCTCAAGATCAGCATCTTGATCCTTGTTATTTGTGTTAGGACTGGGCTATTTTGTGAGTGCGCTACCCAGATTAACAATAAGCCGTTTGAATACCCTCGATGGGAAGAGGTCCAAAAGCCTCGACAAATTATTGTCGTTCATTGCAGAGCTTTGCTAAATTATAACCTCAAAATCAATTCATATTCTGATTAATACTTCAGTTAAAGCTTGAACTGCTGAGCTTGCTAAAGTGTTGAATGGCAATTTCATGCAAAAAATTGTTGGAGATTTTGCTGTGGAATGTCTCAAATCCTAGCCAATACATATTTAAAGCCAAATCTGATGACTCGAATGACTCTTTGTGGAGCCTGCTATAACCGAGTAGCTGAGGAAGAGGTATATAAGCAGATTCTAATTGCAATATACTGAAAGAGACCACTGTTCATTTTATTTCAGTGCTGAAAAATGAGCAGTATTAAATTGCTGAAACAGCAGAGTTGAAACAAAATTCATAGTGTTCTTTACTTCATGCCCTAACAGATGTGTTATGAAAAAGAAAGTAGAAATGGATTTTATAGTTTACCTTGACTAAATAGATTGCTGGAATATTTCTTTAATTTAAAACATTTAGCGAATCAAAACAAATCACCGCAGTTAAATCATCAGATGAATCTGTTGTACGATTGTACAAGGTGTTTAAAGTCCTGTTACCCCCATGTTTTTTCTCTACAGTGCACTGACCAACAACTGAAAAGTGGAAGAATGATGATAATTATATCTAGAAGTACTTAATTCTATTCAGTACAAGTGTTTAACTATATTTAAGCATCCAGAGGATCAGTGTGTGTGAGCGCCATCATTTTCATGGCAGATAATGATCCGTCTCCATACTGTGTGCGACATCTTCAGTAACATGGATGGAGTGACGAGGAAGTCACTGGTGTCAGATATTGTTACACTTGACTCATCTGCAACAGAAATTCATTGTAAGAAAAAAAATAGGGGTGGGTGGGGTGCTGACAAGGCTTTGTGAACACCCTATAGCCCAAACATTTCAGAGTAGGTATTTAGCATAGACAGACTGACCTGCTCAAAGTTTCAATCTGGTAAGTATAATGTTCACATTTGGAACATTGGAAGGCCTAAACATCCACAATGAATTCTCTGTCTAGAGAGGTCATTGTAGGCATATTTGCCGACATATACACCGTCCCTCGTTTCACAGCAATTAACCCGTGAAGCGCTTGGGAAGTTTTTTAAGTTCTATATTTATTATTGGTGCTGTATCAAATGAAAGGCTTAATGATCTGCTTTCAGAATTAATCTAGTGGGTATCAAACCAGCAATATTGCTTTGAATGGACAGGAAAAGAACAGACCTTCTCTTTCGATTCTCACTTGAGGATGCCCAATTCCAATGCCAACCTACTTGTCAACTGGCTCTGAAAGACTATTCTACTGCCTCTGTAACTTTGATCCTGCATTTATTTTAAACCAATTTGATTCCTTTAATCTTCTTTCCCCCTTATAGCACGTTTGCCATTCTCTATCCGAGTGCTTCTAGAAGCGGCTGTCAGAAACTGTGATGGTTTTCTTGTGAAGAAAGACGATGTGGAAAACATATTGAACTGGAAGGTGACCCAACACAAAAATGTTGAAGTGCCTTTTAAACCTGCCCGTGTCATCTTGCAGGACTTCACGTAAGTGTAACTTATAATAATAATTTTCAGTGACTTCTGTTTTTGTTTCAGATTTCCAGCATGTGCAGTATTTTGCATTTTGTTAATAATAATAAACTGGTCACTAAATCCATGACTGTTTGTGAGACACTGCTGTGCGCAATTGGCTGCCGTGTTTTGCCCACAAAATATACAAAATATCAGTTCACTTTACAGTATATTCAGTGAAGAGCTTAGAAACGTCTCAACGACATGATGAGGCGCTATATCAAATGCAAGTATTATTGCTGTATTAACTTCTAAATATCACTTTTTCTGTTTGTCAATTTAGTTGGGAGGTTTTAGTAACACAGATTTACTCAAAGATTTAGACTTGGATCGGTTGATGGCTTAGGCAATGTCAATCACAGCTGTTGCTTTTCTATTGCCTGAACTGTGTTCTACTTTAAACAAAACCTTTGTGGATGGGCTTTATACATAGATTTTTAAAAAAGTTGCAACATTGTCTATCCTATATGGATTTTTGTCTTGCCTTAAATTTTGACCCTTATCACAAATTCCTAAAATACAAATCAATGTGAAAGCATTTGTATAAAAAAGCCAAAAGAAATGCAGAGTATGGTTGAGTTGAACTTGACATTAAAATCATTTAAATGAAATCATAATTACTTTATGTGTGATAATTTTAAAGATTTCTGGTCCTGAGGCATTTTACCACTCTCTGTTTAGTATTTGATGTGATAATTCTGACATTTGGTACAGTGCCTTTCGGGAGCACATCTCAAAGAACTTCACTGGATTTTACTGTAAATTGCAGTGACTATTTTGTGAGTGAATATACCAATGATATGGTATGATAGTAATGTTGGCTGGGGATAAGAAGAATAAAAGAATGAAGCTATGACAGATACAAGTGGGGTTGAAAAATTACTTATCAACAACAACAACTTGGATTTATATAGCGCCCTCCACGCCGTTTTAAGCGTCTCAGAGCGCTTAAAAATTAATCAGAAAACTGGCAGCGGAAATTACATCTCAGGACATAAGGTGCATCTCCCTCAGGGACCCCAATCAGCAGATATGCCCTCGGAGTCACGTTCTTGCCCAAAACGATCCGAGAACTTTCGAGTTGACTTCACATAAACTTTTTTAAAAAGACCTGCAGAAAACCAGTTTTCCGATTAAAGATCGTATTTAACACAGTCATAAAGGCAAGAAAGGCACAAAGGCCTTGGGTACATCTAATGATGTAGCTGTTTTTTCACTGAAAGCCAGCTGTAAATCAGGTCTCCCAGTAGTAGAAAGGTTATTGTAGCATTTTGGGTCCTGTGATTTTTATAATGTGCTGTTTTTGCAGACATCCCCAAAAAGCAGGTCATGCACCTGGGACCTGGAGAGTTTGCAATCTATTGGTAACATTTTTGAAGTACAAAGGGAAGGGTCCTGAGTTTTTTTGATGGTAGACAATCTATATGAAGATTGATGAATATTCACTTTATCCACAGAGGTGTGCCTGCGGTGGTCGATTTTGCTGCGATGCGTGATGCTGTGAAAAAACTAGGTGGAAATCCAGAGAAGATAAATCCCATTTGCCCTGCAGACCTGGTTATTGATCACTCTATTCAAGTAGATTTTAACAGGAGGTAAGTTCTAATAATCAAATGCCATTATAATGTTGTTTATATATGTATTACCTATTTTGAAAGTTAGCAATAGACTATGATTTATTATTTTAACTTTTAATCAACAAGGTAGCTCCTCTGATTAGTGACCAGCTATTACCTTTGCCATTAAATTCAATGCCCGAATGTGATTTTATTTCTGTAAATTATCCAGTTTGTTTATAGTGCTCATTATTCAACGGATTATGCTTCATGTCCCCCATCCTACCTAACGCACCATTAGCCATCTTTCCCCATCTCTTGAACTCCAGCCCAGAGTCCTTCCGAATCGCTCCTTCCCTCACCTTTATCAAAGTCTACCTCACGTCTTGTCTCTTTGTCCAACCTTTTGGTCATCTTTCCCTTTCGTACCCCCTTTGACTTCCACCCAATCTTGGATGCTCAGCCAGCAGTGTTAAGTGCTTTGAGATGTCCTCCCATTCTGATAAACGGTTTATAAATTTAACTTGCATTGTATTGTGGAGTCTTACAGTATAATCACGCAAGAGAGTTTGATTGGTAGACACTGAGGGTCTAGCTCATCCAGGCTATTGGAACCAATTTGTTATCATCCGTCCAGAATACCCAGCCTGTCATATTCCAGTTATAGCATAATGCTGTTTCTTAAATGAGACCAGTTTCTTTCCCTCAATCACCCTTCTGGGTAACTTGTTCTAGTCGTTGATTGCCCTATGCATTAAATTAAATTAAGAAATGTCATGAAATTGCTCTTGAACCTGAGTTCTCTTGTTCCTTGTTTACTCATGTAATATCTTGCATTTCTTGAAGCTCTCCTCTGAGAATTTACTGTTCAAAGCTGAAGAGCTTTATCTTACCTAGGTGTTCCTTATAGCCCATCGTCTATCACTTGGGCATCATTCTATTGAGTGTGAGTCACCCTCATGTTTATTCCAACTTTAGTGAATTACTTTAGTTCATTTCATTTTAGAAAATTCAGCGATGCTCTGAAGGATTTTTACTGTTATCTGAACCATGTTCCTGTAACTGCTTTATGGTTTGCTTGTAGCTCTTTGTTACGCACTGTATAACTGTCCTTCAAAATAAATGTACATATCTTGTGTGAAATACAACATGCATGAAGTATCGGGTAATTTCTTTTTTGGATTGAATATTTGGTCCCCAGTCTGGAAATGAAAAAGGAGGGGAAAAAAAACATGCACTTATAACCCCAGAGATGCTATTTTTGAATTGTATATGGACCTGCAGATGTTTGAGTTGGATGCATAGGCACCAACGGATCAAATGTTGTTTCTGTGTCGGGTCACAAGTTGTCCAGTTCCGTGGGATGGATCTCTATTTAGATTAGTGAAGTGCTTATGTCATTATTTCTCCTTGAAATTGTGACCATCTGTTTCGTATTCACATAAACACGGTCAGTTTTCTCATTCCGTTTCATCTATTTATAGTGATTTTTGTTTGGATTTGCATGACCAAGGCTTCCTTAACATTAAGCTTTTTTTATAGACCTGATCCATGGAATTGCTGATTGTGTTTTTTTTCCCCAGATAGCTGACTCTCTTTGATGTTTGTTGCTATGAAGTGAAAATAATTTCTTAGGGAAACTGTAAAGTAGGATAATGTGCCCATTTAATTATAAAGTGCTGCTGACAGGATAAATTGGACCCCAGTAATATAGATCCTTGTTGTGATATAACAAGTATGATTTACAGTTTACTATTCTGTTATTAAGAAAATAATCAAAGTGGAGTTTTATAGATTGTTGTGTTTTGTCTGATATTGTTGATGGGCCAATTCTTGATCTCAGGGAGGGTGTGCAACCATTTGGGTGCTGAGGGCCGGATGCCCTATGAGAAACGTCCAAGGGCTGCCTGCATAAGCAGTATTTTTGTGTTTCCCTTCTAGAAACCTAACAATATTTACGGGTTATGGGATCAGATGGGCCAGATAAAATGGAGGGAGGGGGTCCAGTTGAAATCGGCCCATGGGCCGGTAGTTGGATCACCCTGATCTAAGGCATTACGTTCTGAGTACTCACAAGTACTCAAGGCCATACAGAACAAGCACTAGTCTTTAGCAGTAACAATTCGCTGATTCATGAAAGTTGTTTCTTTTTTTACAAGATTAAGAAAAAAGACTCCTTTTTTAAAATTGCACCTCCTTCCTTCAAAATCATATTTACTTATTAAACTACACGGACTCCACAAAGTCCTGATATCCCCATGTTTTTTGTCTACAGTGCACTGACAAACAACTGAAACATGTGGAAGAATGATGATGATTGTATTTAGAAATACTTAATTGTATTCAGTACAAGTGTTTAACTGTATTTAGACATCCAGAGCATCAGTGTGTGTGAGCGCCATCATTTTCATGGCAGATAATGATCCGTCGCCATTTTCGGTGCGACATCTTCCATCACATGATTGACTGATGAGGTGAAATGCATCTCTGACAACTTGTTTCAACTCCTCCGTAGTCTCATATCACTTTTTTGTAACAAGGGTAACAAGACTTTGAAGACACCCTGTGAAATATAGGATATCCATTTCAGTGCTGAAACTCTTTGGAGCCTTATCCTCTAATTCTGATTTTTTTCCAGGGTGGACAGCTTACAGAAAAATGAAGAAATTGAATTTGAGCGAAACAAGGAGAGATTTGAGTTTTTAAAGGTATGATATTTTGTATGAAGTTTTATAGCAAAATGCTTCCATTGCTGCTGTTGTAATTGAGCCAGAAATTGACTGGAATATTCTGCTATCTTTCACCAAGTTCCAGTCTCAAAATATACAAGCTCTCCTCCCTCTTGGTAGGAGTCAAAGAACCAGAGCTCCAACTCGCTCTCAGCTCCAATAGTGGCTGAAAATAGACATAATGGACAATACTCACCAGCTGTTGTCAAGTGTTTTTTACATCAGCATTTGACAGCCATACAAACCCTAATGCATTATCATGCCTTCCCTTAATCTGTTTCCTTCCTTCAAGTATTTAGGGTTGATAGTTGATCAAAATACTTGATAAAAATGTGCAAAAATGTCCGTAGGAAGAGAAGTCACTTGAAGTTATTATTAGACTGCCGTGAAATAATAGTACAATAATTTGTGTCTGCGATGGAAGCAGAAAGTGTTGATTCTTTGAAGAACAAACTAAATAGATCCTGGGATACAATATATAGTTTGGGACATGACATGTACTTGCGACTACCAGGATGGTGGAAAGCGAACTGGGTGGACCTTAGTCTTCTTTCATCTAGCAATTCTTATGTTCTTATATTCTTATGTTCCAGATCAGGGAGGGCAAATTATTTCTTTCTCCTACTTGTTATTTAGAGACTCTTGCTGTGAGAAGCATACATGTGGAAATTGGAGATATTTTCGTTAAACAAAAAAGTGGACAAGACAAAGTAATCAATTTAAAGGGATTTATTTGAAAATAATTATTTTATTTTTAAGTGTAAGAGGATAGAGATTCAAACTAATCTTTTAGATAAATTTGACTGGTTTAAAACTCACTTCTTTGACTGCATTTTCGGTCATCACTCCACTCCCCACCCCACAGCTCGGGTACACATCCAGTCCTATGAATAAGCTTTGGGATGTGAAAGGCTCTACATAAATGTGTATTGTATTGTAAAACATCCTTTTTGTTTCGTTGAAGTGGGGTTCTAAAGGTTTTCAAAACATGAGGATTATCCCTCCTGGCTCAGGAATTATCCATCAGGTGAATTTGGAGTACTTGGCCCGGGTGGTATTTGATCAGGATGGATTCTACTACCCTGACAGCCTTGTGGGTACAGATTCTCACACAACAATGATCGATGGTCTTGGAGTTCTTGGCTGGGGTAAGCAAAATGTCTCCACTTGTTAGGTTATCTATGTAAACATTAAGTACTGTGGGATTTAACTGTTATTGCCTTTGAAGGGAGAAGGATTGACTCTTTCTGTCCTGGACTGTTTAAATTAAGCACTGAATTAACAACTCACACTTAAATATACCCTTCCACGTAGAATGAATATCTTGAAATGCTTAACAGATATGATAGGGAGCACTGAGTAGAGAGAAAGAAGAGAGAATCAATGATGTTGACCAAAAGCACCGTCAAAAATATATATATATTAGCATTTTTGGAACCTCTAGCAGTCTTTCATCACAACTTATTCTTTCATTTCTATGTTCTGTATAGCAGTTTTTCCAATTATTTATTTGGCCATTTACAAACGCCTTGATCTGAATGGCTTGATTTTACATAGACTATCTCCACTGTGAATTTGAAGTATCATACTCATAAGTGCCTCAGACATGAATAAGTTATGACGAGCCTTAATACTACTAAAATAAAATAGTATTTGCCTACAAATGCAGTCACTGCACTTTACAGTAAATCCTGTGACGTGCTTTTAGATGTGATAAGGCATTATATCAAATTTATGGATTATTATATATTACGGCTCGGGTGCCCAGACAGCAGTTTCAAGTGCTTTGAGACAGCCTCCTGATGTGAAAGACACCACATCAATGTGAATTGAATTATAGTGTCTGCTTGTTGGGTAGTCAGATGTTCGGTGTGGCTCTAGCTATGTGAGGACGTGCCTTAATAGAATCTGAAGCACATAACCAGTTCTTGTGTTTATCATTGTTTTTAGGGACATGTGGCATTCCTCATCCTGCATGTAGGACAGAGCATAAGATCAATTCACTTGGTATCTGACTAGTAAGTTGCAGTGACTAATCATGCATAACTTAAGAAGGACAAGCAAAAAAATTGGTTATACCTGTACCGACACATTAGAATTAGGATACAGATTGGTTTACAAATGGCAATTCTGTAACTATCTGTTTATGTCAAGTATACTTGAAGCAATGTGCGGCTTGGAGATTCTGGTCACATTGTAGTTTCGATGTCCTTAGAATTCAGTAGATGATGTCTAGGTGTCTAATACTTCCTCCACTTGAGAAGTCTACTGCCTTATGTTACAAATAAATAAAGGTACAAACTTTGTTGCAGGTGTGGGTGGCATTGAGGCTGAAGCGGTGATGTTGGGCCAACCTATTAGCATGGTTCTTCCTCAAGTCGTTGGCTATAAACTACTAGGCACCCCAGGGTCCTTAGTGACGTCAACAGACATAGTCCTCACAATCACAAAAGTAAGTACACCTCACTGCCAAAAGCCGGCAGACAGCACTAATCTGTTCTAGTTCTAGTTTATTTATTATTATTATTATTTTGCTTTAGCATCTAAAATTCCAAAGGAAAATTACAAAAGTATTGAATTTAATTCCACACAGCTGTTAAGAGTGTTAAGCTAAAAAAAAAATCAACTGATATACAAAAACTCTGGATGGACGAACCAATGGGGTGGTGGGGAAGATCCTATGAGCCAGTATTCCTGGCTAAGTGTAAGTACAATGCTGATACTGGCTTTTTCAAGCCCGAAAAATACCAGTAAATCTTCTGCTCAAGGGATTCAAACGGAGTCAAAATCGATATTCTGCCTGATCACTGAAGGCCATCGAGTGGGGGGGAGGGGGGGGTGATGGTGCTAAGAGAGTGGCTGGTGGGAGTTCGCAGAATTTTTAAAAAATATTCTGTTTCGGGCCCATCCGGCTACAAATGAATTCCGGTTACCCGGAGTCCGATAAGCCTATTTATTGCAGTTTTCAAATGTTTTTTTTCCTTATTTTTTTAAAGAATCTTCGCCAAGTTGGGGTTGTGGGGAAATTCGTTGAGTTCTTTGGGCCAGGTGTGGTGCAACTGTCCATCGCTGATAGAGCAACTATTTCCAACATGTGTCCTGAGTATGGTGCAACAGCAGCTTTCTTTCCAGTTGATAAAATAAACCTGAAGTACCTGGAACAAACCGGTATGAACATGAAGACATGTTTCTGCAGCAAACTAATATGTCTATAACTAACCTTTTTTTTGCCAACATTCTTCCCTTCTTTCCTGAAGGCATTGCCCTTAACATTGGGTTTCTTTCTCACCTTCCAGAAAGGACCAGGAAATTACCTTATCGGTTAAAAAAAGTATAAATGTGAATAGAATTTAAAAAAAGTATTAATAGGAATAAGTAACAATTTAAAAAATGACAATGTGAAATGTGCCAACACTGTATTCACACTGTGACTTATAACGACAACAACAAATTACATTTGTATAACGCCTTTCATGAGAGGAGGACGTCCCAAGATGCTGTAACATTCAAATCTTGGAGTGAATCTGAAGCCTTTGATGCTAATATGAAATGTCCCAATTCTAGGGTATAGCTATAGTCCTCTGGTTATTGTATTGTGTCCAAGTCACTATTTATACACAAGCATATCTATTTAGCAGAAATGCGGGATGTTACAGGAAAACTGATGTGACCAGACTTACAAGACTAGCAATGAAAAGATTATTCTCCACTCCCCTTCCCAAGCAATGTAGAAAGAAGTGTTGAAGGGAATTCATCTTTAATCTTTGTGCACTGCTTAAGATGCTTCCATAAAATACTCAGCAAAAATGAAGATATGCACTCCCAGAGCAGCGCACTACATTACCAATGGTTGGTGTCAGGAGTGGAGGATTGATTTTCCATTTAATTCGACTGCTCATCTGCAAGGCTTTATGGGGAAAGCATCGACTAGAGGCCAGAAACTTCTCAACAGGTGGCCTATGAATTGCACTCTAACTCTAAGAGATGTGTGAGGCTTGTATGTGATGAAATGGGGAGAGGAGGAAAGGAAAAACCTTATTCCAAAAATTATTGAGTGACTTAGTTGGATTAAAAAAAAGTGTTTGTCCAACTGTGCATATTGACATTGTGTCTGCAGCTAGTTAGTTTCTTGTTTAACAAGAAACCATTTACCCTTTTATTGAACTATAGCAGAGTTCATAAATTCATTTATTTTGCATAATTGTGATGATTATTTCCTTCCCTTTCCCCTGGATTGCTTGAGCTGTGTCTTAGAACCATTTTTTTCTCTAACATTTAAAAATATCTGCTCTTATAGGTTCAGGAGCAGTCAGTCGTGTATTCATTGTTTTTGTCTTTTATTGAAGGTCGAAGTGAAGAAAAGCTCAATTATATTGAAAAATACCTCAAAGCTGTCAGCATGTTCAGAGATTTCAGCGACCCATCTCAGGATCCAGAATTTACTCAGGTAAAGGTGATACTGCATTTTCAGGTGATTGAATTCTTAGAATGCTTAAGAGCACTTGTATGTTAATAAAATAATAATAATCCTAACATTTGATATATCACCTTTCACATTGGAAGGATGTTTCAAAGCGCTTCATAGGATATACTGCATATTGTAGTGACTGTGTATTTTGTGGATGAATACCTAGAATTAAGTGTCCAGCTCTAGGTTGGGACTTTTAGGTCACAGTCTGGGCTGGCATTCCGGGGCAGTACTGGGGGACCACTACATTGTTGGAGGTGAATCCTTTAGATGAGATGTTAAATTGAGTTCCTGTCTGCTGTACAGGTGGATGTTAAAGATTCCATGGCACTTCTCAAAAGGGAGTTTCTCCCAGTGTTCTGGCTAACAATCCTGCAAATAAAATTGGTCATTCACTTTATGGTTCTTTGTGGGATCTTTCTGTTCACAAATTGGCTGCTGCGTTTGCCTACAAATACACAGTCACTACATTTCACAGGGTCACTAGGCTAAACAGCAAATATATATGAAACCTTTTGAGACATTTTGACATGATCGTTGCTGCATCAAATGCAATGATTATTATTGTTACTACCATGGGAGCTATAAAATCCCAAACTGCTTTGTAGTGACAGTGGATTTTACTGTGCATAAACCCTGCCAGACTTATGGACTGGCTGGTTCTCTGAGCTAAAGAAAAAGTGTCTGACTTCTGGTTCATTGGATTTTAGCCACTTCTTTAATTGGAGGTACAGATCAGCCATGATCTGATAGAATTGCAAAACAGGCTTGAGGAGCTGAATGACGTACTCCTGATCCTATGTTCTTATTTTCTGTGACCTACAAGTCTCAACATAGAGCTGGACACTTAATTCCAGGTATTCATCCACAAAATACACAGTCACTACAATATGCAGTATATCCTGTGAATGCTGTAAGTGATGTTGTCAATGACTTAATGATTCAGGTTTTTTTTGATAGCGGAGGAAACTCAAAATGGCCAACTTCTGTGTCATTAGATCTTCCAATTTCACTTCTTACATTATCCCTTTACAGCAAAGCAAGAAGTGATGTTGAGATGATATAATGAACCAGAAATAGGCTATTTTAGCACAAAAAAGCTAGCTCGCATGCACAGCAAATGGGGTGCACAGTGCAACCACATTATAAGTGAATTTGCGCTTCAGTAAATCATTGCATTAGGTAAAAAAACTGAAACTTTCTTCCAAATCAAGCATTTTTTTCACCAAAGTTTTTGCAGGAGGAGCTATATAGTTTGTTCCAATACATATTGTGTTTTCGCAAACTGAGCAACTGTGATATCATTTTGTTCTGTGCAGGTTGTGGATCTAGACCTCAGCTCTGTGGTCTCATGCTGCAGTGGCCCCAAAAGACCTCAGGACAAAGTATCTGTGTCAGATATGAAGACAGATTTTGCAAGCTGCTTGGTTGCAAAGGTGAGCTTTAAATGCAATTGTATATCATCGGAAATGTAAAACCTAGCAAACATTTTATTAGACACAAAATGGGTTCTTGTCGCTATTTTTGCTGTCAGACTTGGAAATGTTCACATTATGGTCACCTTGTGTATTTGCTGGACAAGGTTTGCAAAGTTTTTTGGCCACCTGTATTTTATTCGAATTGAAATAATTTGAATCCCACCCCCACCCCCCGTTCTTTAAATTCAGCAAGGATTTAAAGGATTCCAGATTCCATCTGCGCGTCTCGAAGACAAGGTGAAGTTTCAGTACAATGAGCAGGAGTATGAGCTGTCTCACGGTTCAGTTGTGATTGCTGCCATCACCAGCTGCACTAACACCAGCAACCCATCCGTAATGCTGGGAGCAGGTACTTGTCAACCAGTGTTTAAATCATCTATGTACGTTTGAAATCGAGTGTTTTACACATGTCATCTTCAGTAAATAAACTGGATTTTTTAAAAACAATCAGAGTGACGGGTGACCTGGAAGTAATGATTAAATTATTATAATAATAATTTTTGCTGTTGATATCACCTTCCAGGGAATTGCTGTCAAGTATAGTGATTGTGTATTTATAGGCAAACGAGGTAATTGGTTTACAGACAGCAAACAGCAAAGTGAACGACAAGTTTATCTGGAGGATTATTCGACCCAGATAAGAAGACACTCTTTTTGAATACGTAACTTCCACTTGAATAGGCAAGTGAGATCTTGGCTTAACATCTCCTCCAAAGGATTCAACTCCAACAATATAGTGAATCCTCAAAACTACAATGGAGTGTCAGTCTTGACATTAAACTCGAGTGCTGATGTGCGACGTGAACCATAATCTTCTGACCCATAAGCATGAATATTGCGAACTAAGTCAAGCTAATCAGAGGTTAGTTGTAAGTGCAAGGGTTATCATAATCAGTCATGATTGGAGATGTAACAGGTAGCCATGACAGAGCTTATTTCACCAGTTGTAAATGTAACTTATCAACAACAACTTGTATTTATATAGTGCCCCTCCCAGAGCGCTTGATAGTGGTGGAGCACGACTCCAAGCTGAGGGGGAGATGACCGAAGGGGACGGTAGAATAGGAAGGTCTTCAGGCAAGATCTGAAGATGTGGAAGGAAGGGGCAGGGCAGAGGGTTAGAGGAAGAGTGTTCCATTGTTTCGAGGTCTAGTGGCTGAAAGCACGGCCACCAATGGTGGAACGGAGGGCACAAGGGACATGCAGATGGCCGGAGGCAGTGGGTTGGGAGGCAAGCAGGTCGAAGAGGTAGGGAAGTGCCAGGGCATAAAGGGATTTTAAAACGAGTGAAAGGATCTTGAAATCGATCCGTTCAGCGATAGGGAGCCAGTGGAGCCTGACTAGAGCTGGTGTGAGTATGCGGGAGGTAGAGTTTTGGATCAGATGGATCCTGTGTATGGTGGAGCTGGGGGAGAACGGCAAAGAGGGCATTTGAGAAGTCGAATGTCGGGTGTCTCCAAGTATAGGAATTCCAGGAAGTGTCTCACACGGAGGTTAGATGTACCTCCCGACTGTGAGGTTACGGTTAGTGAACAACAGAGATGTGTAATCCTTAATACCACTGTCATAAAATATAGCATTTTTAAAAATTCTGAAATGTATTAAATTTGGTTTTAAGGACTTCATAGAATTGCGTGATCTTGAAGTTTTAGGCAATGTTATTAAAGAGGTAGTAAACAGTGAGGAAATTCAGTCCTTTGATCCCTTCTCACAGAAAAGCAGGGAAAATCAGGGAGTCAGACACTCTGGAGGTTTCTCGTACACCACCTAGTGGTAGTAGGCCTGAGAGCAAACCACTTGTTTGGTCACCGATGGTGTATAGGAGTTTACAGAAGAGCAAATTCCGTTTCTATGGGTGTATTTAATACTTTGTTCCAGAGGTCCCACTCTCTGGTTCAAATGCTATTTAACAGGTTGGCACTTTGTTTTGCAGTGTTCATTCAGTACAAACAAAATTTTAGCACCAGTACAGAAATAAATTGAGAAATCCGTTTATGCATACTTACCATCAAGTGGCGTCAGCTTGGCCCAGAAGGTAGCATTCTCACCTCTGATGTGGGTTCAACTCCCACATCAATACTTTGCACGTTTGTCTGACCAGGTGGATGTTAAAGATGCATCAAAGAGAAGGGAGTTTTTCTCTCCTGGAGTTCTAGTCAGCAATCTAGATTCTAGGTACAATTGGTCATTCACTTCATGGCTGTTTGTGGGACATTGCTGTGTGCAAATTGGCTGTTGCATTTGCCTACAAAGTACAAAGTCGCTACACTTTACAGTATATCTTGTGAAGCACTTTGAGATGTTGTTTTGACATGAAAGGTGCTATATCAAATGCAAGGATTATTATTAACTGGTATGATTTGGGCATAATTATTTTCTTTGATGCTATTGCAATTTTCTAAGATGCACCTAGTTTAGTATTTCAAACCTCCCTAGATCATGATGTATTCTGTATTCCATCTCTTCATCGAGAGGTATGATTATGGCTTCACACAATCACTATACAGGTGCACAAAAATATTGGACATAAAAGTTTTTAAAATTTCAGTTGTGTCTTGCCCAGGATCATTATAAATGATTTTGAATTAATTTTTCGTTTACTTTTTACTTCCTTGGGTGTAAAATTCTACCTGGATGTAGATTTACCATATTTACTTGGGTGTTTAGAGCATCTAGAATGTGGTGAATTCTTAAATCAGTCTTAATTTTAAAGATGAAATTCTGTAACTTCTTAAGAAATATATTTAGTTCTGAGGCTGCATAATGAGGTTAATTTTGCAGGGCTGTTGGCTAAGAAAGCAGTTGAAGCTGGCCTGAATGTCAAACACTACATCAAAACCAGTTTGTCTCCAGGAAGTGGTGTAGTTACCTACTATTTGAAGGAGAGTGGAGTCATGCCGTACCTCTCCAAATTAGGGTAAGCCCCATGAGTTTCTTATTCTGTAGAGGAATTCTGAAAGCATTTGATATGTTTTCTAATGAACAAGATGAGTTATTGTAACAGTGATTTATTACTTCTTACCCTCTTTGATGTTTATGCGCAATCACAGTACAGACCCGTCGGTAATTAACTACTTTATAACGAGAATTTGGTTACAGTGTGGACCTCAGTGTGGCCCATTTCCAGGTCATTAGGTCACCACCTACCTCCCTTCCTTCTTTGTACTCATGCAGCAAACAGAAAGTGACAGCGATGGCAACCCATAAGGAAGTAATCTCCATCCCTGAATCCCTCCGCCTCACTCCTCTCTCGCCTCCTTCAAGACCCTTCTCGTGATCTTCTTTGACCATGGCTTCGGCCATACTTCCACCCCCACTCGCCTAACCTCTACTCCACTTGATTCCAACTCCAGCTTGGGTCTAAACCCTCAACTGTCCAGCAACTTGGGATGCTCTCCGATACGAAAGGCGATATATAAATGTAATTTCTTGTTGTTTTTGTAGTTTCATTTTTTGCATAATTTAATGTTGAAAACCATCTCTGTGGCCTTGATATTGTATATTGACTGTTTGCCAGCATACAGCTTCATATGCAGGAGGAGGTTGAATAGAATGGAGGATCCCCATGGGGAAATGCTCCACTATATTCCCTACAGGACAACTGGCAGATCCTTTGCATTCAGTACCAATACTGGCTGAGATTTGCTACTGGTGCCTTCTTCATGCTGTGATATTTCCTTTTATGTTCTTGCATTTGGATTAATTTGGTTTAATTTGAGAAACGATATGCTGGCAGAGTAGGACTTTCTCGTGTTTAGTTATTCAATATAATGTTTCCTGGCCTTAGGTTTGATGTTGTTGGATATGGATGCATGACTTGCATTGGCAACAGTGGTCCTCTCCCAGAGACTGTTGTGGAAGCAATTACAAAGGTAATAATAATATTGTAGTAAAACACGGAAGAGCATACTGTTGAAAAAAGGTGCTTATTCGCCGGGATATCACCAAAAGTGTAGAGCAAGGATGACACTTCAGTGTTGCAGTGATATGAGATTACGGAGGAGCTGAAACAACTTGTCAGAGATGCATTTTGTCTTGTGACTCATCATGTCATGGAAGATATCCCATCGAACATCTGCCATGAAAATGATGGAGCTCACACACACCAATCCTTTGGACGTCTAAATGCAGTTAAACACTTATACTGAACACAATTAATTATTTCTGAATACAATTATCATCGTTCTTCCACAACTTTCAGTTGTTGGTCAGTGCACTGTGGAAACCTGTACAGTACCATGAATACATTTACCCCCAAAGTTATGGGTGATAGATGATAGAGATGAAATAGAGGGATTAAAACTCACTAGAGGTGATTATTAATATTAAGCCTTTTCTAGAAGAGAACCTATTCTGTAATTGACCACCAAATGGCCTCAGATCTCATGATCTTGCATTCTAAGAATTGTGCACTTACCAGCTGTTTAGGTAACAGCTAATTTTAACTTCCTAGTTACAAAAAATTTTTAAATGTGCGATTTCCTGGAAGTACTTTAGCTTTAGAAGTGTTTGAGGGAGACATACTTGGGTGGTTGGGAGGACTTATATATTTGTTGGAGTCCTTTAGCATAATGGTTGGCAGCACTCGCCTCGCAAGCGAGAGGACCTGGTTCGATTCCCAGGCAGGATGAAACATTAGGCAAGTTTTCTTACTCTACATGCCTTTGCTTAACTAGCAGTAAGTGGAACCCATTTGTTAGTCAATTGACAGATCGCTTTCTAGGGGTAATAATACAGTTAATTCATTTTTACAGTATATTCTGTGAAGCATTTTGAAACTCTCAACGACATGATAAGGTACTGTATCAAATGCAAGGATGATTACATTACATTTGTTATGTAATTAGAGATTAGAGATTAACTGTGAAAGTAAATATGATTATTCCTGGTGCCTTTTGCGATCTTTTCATTTGCAACCTTCGTCTGTACAGAGTGACCTTGTGGCAGTTGGAGTCCTGTCTGGGAACAGAAATTTTGAAGGTCGCGTTCATCCCAATACACGTGCCAATTATTTGGCTTCACCCCCATTGGTTATTGCATATGCCATAGCCGGGAGTGTCACCATCGACTTTGAAAAAGAGCCATTGGGTAAGTAGTTTCAGAAAGTGATTCTGATCCCTTTCATTGTTAACATGATTTCTACCTCACTTTGAAAACTTGCTCTGTAACTGTATTGAGTTTTTCAAATGTTGCTTTAATATTAAGCAATAGGAAGCACATTAAAATATATTATGCTGTTTAAAGTGGAGTCTCGAGCTGATCTGGCTCTAAAGAGACCGGAGGCTGGTATTGTATGTAGTAATCCAAGGTTGTCCTGTTCTGTGTGGTGACCATTATTTACTGTCAGATATTCATCCTGTGAAAAGGAGGGAAAGTTGGTGTCGCTCACATGCAGCCAAGCTGTGTGTTTTAGAGTGTTTACACTTGGCCTGTTCTCCCTCTCCTTCAGGTGTTGGTGTGGAAGGAAGAGAAATCTATCTAAGGGATATTTGGCCGACCAGGGAAGAAGTCCAAGTTGTGGAGAGGAAGTTTGTTATTCCTGCCATGTTCAAGGAGGTTTATCAGAAGATTGAGGTAAACTGAGTCTCACCACTTAAGTGGAGGTGCTGACCTCCAGGCCATGTCACCGGGGCATTTTCATTCACAAATGCCAATCCCTGTCCAACCCAATCAGAGGACCTTTTAATTTTGTATGTGCCGTTGTTGTGCCTTTATGACGGTTTGTAGTGAATGCACCAGTTGGAAGCACTCACTGGCAGAAAAGATGTAGCTGCGAGGCACCTCAAAATAGGGTGGGTCTTTTTCAGTGCCAGTCAGACAGCAATCAATTCAGGTCAAGCTACAGGCTGAGCACAGCATTAGAAGCTGCGCATGAGGAAACGTCCATTAGCCCTTTTTTAATTTAGATTTTTTTTCACAGGAATTTAATTTAGATTTTTTTCTCTAGAAACGAAATGAACGTTGGAATGCTTTGAATGCCCCTGGTGATGAGCTGTACACATGGAATCCCAACTCAACCTACATCAAGTCACCACCATTTTTTGAAAACTTGGTACGTAAATAAAGTTAGACTTCAATGCAGCAAATGCAATTAAGTGTTAAATAGGAACAGATTTTCCTTCAACCTCCAATTTGTACTAAAATATATTAATTCTTTGTATTTAACCATGCTTCTGGCTTGCATTTTCTCTGATTAATTGCCTGGGTAATCAGAGCCAGATTGTGATCAGCAAAGCTATCTGTGGAAATGTAGATTTAAGTTAAATTTTGTACGTTGGGAATTATACAAGATACTGAATGAATACTGCTTGTGAATGTTTTTGAAAGGTGAATTTGAAAGTGATTTGGAATGTCTAATCTTGCACAAACTCTAGTGCTCGCATTAGTGTAAATGTATTTTATTTGAGAGAACAGTGATATAGAACAGGGAGCCATAAGTGTGGCTTGCTTTATTTTACATCAGTTGTTCAGACTGAAATAAATTAACACTGCAGTAAGTGTGACTACTCATCATACATTACATTGTAATAGTAGGGTATATTTTTTAAATCAGTTATTGTCCTTTTTTTAATTTCCTTTAGACTCTGGCTCTTCAGGCTCCAAAGTCCATTGTTGATGCCTATGTACTTTTGAACCTGGGTGATTCGGTGACTACAGACCACATCTCTCCAGCAGGGAATATTGCTAGAAACAGCCCAGCTGCTCGCTACTTAACTGACCGGGGGTGAGCAAAGATCTTAAAATGATTTAATATTTGAATTGGCACTTACAGAGTATGCCTATAGATTTAGTGTGTTTGATCAAGTGCGGGGTTAATGAGAATTGTTGCAGTGAAAATTTAAACTAATAATAATAATCCTTGCATTTGATATAGTGGCTTATCACATCTTTGAGCCATCTCAAAGTGCTAATGAAATAACAGAGTACTTAGCTTGCGATCTGTGAATGCAATCTCTTACTCCAATGTTTATGCAGTTAGAGTTTAGTTTTTACTGTATGAATTAAACAAAATGTAATTCGCATGAGAGGCAGAGGAAGAAAGGTGCTTCTAAACTGCATAAATGAGGCTTGAAAGGAATTGTTTCAAAACTTGATTAAAAACTCAGGAAAACCAGCTTTGAACTAACTCTGAATTTAAGGATTTTCCAAAATCTTCCAAAATTCTGCACAATCTTAATAATAATGTTTACATTTAGTATAGCGCCTTTCATGTTGGGAGGACGTCCCAAGGCATGGAAAGTCAGGGAGTTTGACCAGGGTGCGTTTGGGATCAGGAGGGGTGAAGGGCAGGGAGCTTAGGGTAGGAGGGTGACCGAAGGCATGGTAGAGGAGAATTTTGAACACTATCCTCTGGAGGATGGGGAGCCAGTGGAGCCGGGAGGAGGTGATAAGGTCACAGAGCTTGGTGCGGGAGAGGACACAATCTGCAGAATTCTGTGCGATCTGCAGCTTGTAGAGGGACGAGATGGGGAGGCCTACAAGAATAGAGTTGGAGCAGTCGAGCCTACATTTAACGAATGCATGGATGAGGATCTCGGCAGCCTGAGGGTTGAGGCAGTGGTGAAGCTGGGTGATGTTTCAGAGGTGGGCGAAGGCAGGAAGGGGCATGCCATGGATGTGAGATGGAAAGGACAGTTGAGGGTCAAACAAGAAGCTAAGATTCTGGACTGGCTCAGTGAGATGGAGTGTGCATTCATGGATGGTGATGCTGCCATTGCCTGAGGTGTGGAGGCAGAGAGGTAGAGTTGGGTTTCATGTGGAAGTTGACCCCATATCTGCAGATGATGTCACCAAGAGGTAGCACGTATATGTTGAAGAGAAGGGGAAAGGATCAAGGACAGAGCATTGAGGGGGCTTTATAAACAAGACGGTGCGGGGGCTTTATAAACTGAACAGTTTATTAAAAAATTTTATTTAATATTAGCAAGAGTATAATTCATCCCTTTAGGTTAACACCTCGAATGTTCAACTCCTATGGATCCCGTAGAGGTAATGATGCAGTAATGTCACGGGGGACGTTTGCAAACATCCGTCTGTTTAATAAATTCCTGAATAAGCAGGCACCGCAGACCCTTCACTTCCCTTCTGAAGAAACGGTAAGTCAGAAATTGGAGTTTCCTCTCTGTCACACACTGGGGTCTCTGGACATGCACCAGATGCTTATCTCTGTATCAGCAGATACACAATAGCCCATGCATTGAGCTTATAATGAAACATTTCCAGTTCTCTTCATAAAACCTGTAGACACAAAGAAGACCGCCATCAGAATTTGTGCAAAGTTCAATAGATTTACGAAACAGAAGAATAATATATAGAGATGAGTTTACAAGCAACAAGTACAGTACTTTGCGAACTCTCCTTTTTTATTCTCCAGCTACTGTATGAGAAAAGCCCTTTCAGCCCACCTAGCCCTCTCTCTTTGCTCAGCTGGGTGTCTGACACATGCGGAAACCCATCACCATGCTTAAGAGTTTCCAAAACAAATTAAGAATTCCAAACATCCCACCTACACATGGAAATACCAGAGATAAGATTGTGGAATGGAATGCACACTCTTTCCCTGGAGGGATATATCCTGCTTACTTAGCCCCCTCTCTTCACAAGATAGGTCAAAACTTGGACTATCACCTATGGTAGGGGTTGGGTGGAATATTTCAACAGTGGCACTTTCTGAACTTCGAAGTTGATGAATATTCTATCTCAACCCTGGACTCTGCTTCACTGACATTTAACTCTCCCTGCCCACTGCAGCTGCATAGAAATCACTATAATCCTTTGGGCATTTGTCCACCTCAGTCTGTTCTCAAGTGGGTATTTATCCAGTGGTTTTGGAAGTAGTTAATCAATGTGCCATGCACTGCTTTAGCTGTGAGTTTGTTCCAAATATTTACTGTATTTCGCCCATTTCAAGACCCTTCTCTTGGACCACACTTTCGGACATCCTCATATGCCTATCCTCCCTACTCTCTACCCCCCGCTCAGGTCCAAATCCTTGACTGTCCAGTGAGTGCATTGGGACATCCTCCCAACGTGAAAGCCACTATAGAAATGTGATGTTTTAGTTGTTATTGCTGCTCTGAGATTAAAGATCCTTCAAAGCTGATCCAACTGGAGACTTTTTAATTTGAAATCTCTGCCCTCTATTTGAATTCTGAACATAGCATAACATGTAGGAGCAGCAGTAGGCCATTTGGCCCTTCGAGCCTGCCCTACCATTCAATCATGGCTGATCTTCTAATGTAACTCCAGCTAATAACCTGACCCTGCCTTATCCCCATATCCCTTAATCCCTTTTGCAATAAGAAATCTATCTATCTCAGTCTTGAATATGTTCAAGGACTGAGCGTCAACGGCCCTTTGGGGTAGTGAGTTCCATACATTCACCACCCTTTGAGTGAAGAAGTTCTTCCTCAACTCAGTGCGAAAGGGTTGGCTTCTGATTTTAAGGTTGTGACCCCTGGTTTTAGTTTCTCCAACCAGGGGAAACAATCTCCCACTATCTACTCTATCATGCTCTTTGATGATCTTGTAGGTTTCTATAAGATCCCCTCTAATTCTTCTATATTCTAGAGAACATAGGCCCAAATTGATCAGCCTATCCTCGTAACTCATCCCCTTCATCCCTGGTACTAACCTAGTAAATCTACGCTGCACCCCCTCCAAGGCAAGTACATCCTTCCTTAAATAAGGAGACCAAAACTGCACACAGTATTCCATTATTCACCTTTATCTAGTTTACTTGAAATATCCTNAAAAAATTCTATGAGATTTGTCAAACATGACTTCCCTTTTGTAAAGCCATGTTGACTTGGCCTAATTATATTGTGTTCCCCTAAATACCGCACTACCATATCCTTAATCAATGATTCTAAATTTTTTCCTATCACTGATGTGAAACTAACTGGCCTATAGTTCCCCATCTTTTCTGAACACAATGAACACAATGCCTTTTCTCCCTTGGTGACAGCTTGATATATATGATGCTGCAGATCGCTATCAGCAGGAGGGTTATCCTCTCATTATCCTGGCTGGTAAGGAATATGGATCGGGCAGTTCAAGAGACTGGGCAGCAAAGGGCCCCTACTTACTGGTGAGTTGTTTGTTTTCTGCAGTGCAGAGTACACTCTAATCCCTGTTGTTCTGAGCTGGGATGTCAATTTGAGAGAGGGGTGGCACTGATGGAATTCTTGAATACATATGTATGTCTTCTGTTATGTTCCTTTCTGTCCTACTGATTTGATTTTCAGGTTGCTTTGGGACTTCCTCCCCACGTGAAAGGGGAGGTTAGGATAATTTAAATGGGGTAGTTCTGCAGACTGTGTTGAGGCTGGTATTCTAATGGCCATTTTCCATTAGGAGTTTGCCAAATTGTGGGGGTTTGAGGAGGAAGAGTTTTTTTTTAAAAAAAACAAAGTTTAGATGCTGATGTACATCATGTTACATCTTATGAGTTTTCAGAGTCTAATCTTAGTCAGCACCCGTTTTGTGGGACTGACTAGACAACGCCTTTTATTACCTATCTAAGAAAGATTATGCAAGATTTTATTAGATATTTTGAATCAGATTTGACAAGATTATGTGTTGCAGCATAATTAATTTTGCTCTAATGGAAACTTGATATTAATTTACTCCACACATCTCTATTTACCTAGCAGTAAGTAGGAACCCGGTTGTTAGTCAATTGGTGGATTTTTTTCTGGGGATAATAATCCATTTTAAAAACCATTAAAATGTGGTCACTCAATCCGTGACTGTTTGTGGGAAACTGCTGTGTGCAATTGGCTGCCGCACTTCGCCCACAAAATAGTCGATTCATTTTACAGTATATTTGTGAAATGCTTTGTGACGCCTGAACAATGTGATAAGGCGTTATATCAAATGCAAGAATTATTATTATCTTATTAAACCTTGAGCTTGAGGTCCAGATTTTGTAAATTGAATAATCTCTTCTTTCCCAGGGAGTCAAAGCTGTCATCGCTGAGAGCTACGAACGCATTCACCGGAGCAACCTTGTAGGAATGGGGATAATTCCCCTGGAATATCTGCCAGGACAGACTGCTGACACCCTGGAACTGACAGGCCGCGAACGTTACACTCTTATCATTCCTGAACTGTTGAAGCCAAGAATGAGCATGGAGATTAGGGTAAATGCTAGTCATTATTACTGGAAGCACTTTCGTTAGTCCATCTTGTTTAAGAAACAACTAAGATAAGATAGGACCAGTTTGCTATTGGTTGACATACACTGGATATCCCCAGGTTTGAGCAATGGAGCTTATATATAAGCTTGAATAGTTTTGACCACCTTCTGTGTTGGGTCACAGTGTCCCAGCTTACTCTTTTAGCCCCTTAGGTGTCTTAGTTTCCAGCTCTCCCAGTTTTCTGTTATGTTGTCTTAGTCTACTGTGGTATCAGTTGAATCTTTTATTTATAAGTTTGATTCTAAAACAATTTTTGAGCCGGAAACAACTGAATCTGAAAACTTTGCCTGATAACTTTTTCTCTCCACGTTCCCCACCACCACCCAACAAAAATCCTGTGACATTGCCCTTCACCAAGCTCTGTTCATTGTTCGTGCAGTGCAAAGTTGCAGGTTGGAAGATGATCATGGTCACAGTGTTATTATTAATTGCTTATGAATCTTCCTCATCCCCACAAAAATCTGCACTCGATCCACTTCCTTTCTGACCAATCTGTTTCTCTGGATAAAGAAGTTCATTCTAAACCAAATGTTCACCTTCCTATGCTGAATTTGGGGCCCAATTTGTAGTACATTGTGTGCAAATTGATAACTGCATTCACCTACAGAATACAAGCACTACACTTTAGAGTAAAATTCTGTTGAAATGGTTTGAGACATCCTCCTGATATGAAAGGCACTGAATCAAATTCTTATTATTGTCTAATGTTTAGGCTACAAAAAGCTTTAATAAGATCAATCCTTCTCTCAGCCCTTGTACTGCAAGTCATGAAAGTTGTCATCCAATCTGGGTATAATCAAATCACTGAACCTACCTATAAAGATAGAGTTTAGGATCAGCTTTTTGAGTTGGTCAACTTTTATCTTTCGGTTTATGTAACTTTACTAAATGTGTAAATATCTGAACCAAATGTATTTTTTCTCCCTCAGCTTGACACAGGCAAGATCTTTCAAGCCATCATGAGGTTCGACACTGATGTAGAGCTGACCTATTTCCTCCATGGTGGTATTCTAAACTATATGATTCGCAAAACACTGTCAAATTAGGTAATGATGAGGGGGCCGTGTCAGACAAACAGCAAAGCACTAATTATGGTCCAAATCCCATTTGTCTTTCATGTTATAGCAATGACTGTTCTGGTTGGTGTATGAAATGTCCATTGTTGGAGCATTTTTTAAAATCTATAAACTTTTTAAAATTTCATTTGTTGACCAGCGAGGAAAGGTTAAGTCGTGACAACATTTATTTTTGAAAATCATCCACTGTTTAAATTAAAACAAAATATTAAAGCACATTTGAAAGGACTGTATTGGTGTCCTTTAAAAAGTAAATGCAAAATATCTTCTGATGATGTACAACACAAAATTACATTTGTAAAGCGCCTTTCACATCGGGAGGATGTCCCATGGTGCTGAACAGTCAGGGATTAGGACCTGAGCGATATGGGGGAGGTGTGCTGGGATCAGGCATCAGGGAGTTTGGAGGGCGGAGCGGGTAGCTGAAGGCACGGTTGAAGTGGTGGTCTTAAGATGTGCCTTGAATGAGGCAAGCGAGGCAAAGGGAATGTGGGTTGGAGTGCCAGAGGGTGGGGGCAGAGAGGCTGAAGGCCCAACAGCCAATGGTGGGACGGGCAGGTCCAGAGCTTGCTGAGCGAAGGGAGTGGACAGGTTGATAAGGGGTTAATAGGTAGGCATGGGCAGGACCATGGAGGGCCTTGAAGGTGAGGCCGAGAATTTTGAATTCTATCCTCTGAGGAATGATGAGCCAGTGGAGCTGAGAAAGGGTGATGGGGGTCACAGAGTCTGGTGTGAGAGAGGACATGAGCTGCAGAGTTCTGGATGATCTTGTGGAGGGAAGAGTTCTGAAATCAGAGGCTGAAAAGCAGGGTGTTGCCATAATCGAGACTGATGTAGTGAAGGCATGCATGATGGTTTTGGCAATCTGCGGGGTGAGGCAGTGGCGGAATTGGGGGAAAGCAGAATGGGTCATGGCATGGATGTGGGGGACAGTTGAGGGTTGAACAGGATGCCCAGGTTCCTGACTGGCTTGGTGAGGTGGAATGTGCAATCGTGGATGCTGATACTGCCGGTGCCTGAGGTGCGGACGCTCTGGTGTGAGCCAGTCAGGAGAGCCTCGGTCTTGCTGACGTCCAGCTGTAGAAAGTTGGCTCTCATCCAGGATTTGATGTCTGATATACAGTCTGTCGGTTGTCCTGGAATTGAGGGTGGAGGTAGAGTTGGGTGTCATCCGTGTACATGTGGAAGTTGACCCCATGTCTGCGGAAGATGTCACTCAGAGGGAGCATGTACAGGTTTAAGAGAAGAGGATCAAGGACAGAGCCTTGAGGAACACCACACAAGACGGTGTGGGGGCTGGAGGAAAAGCTGTTTGTGGAGTCGGTGTGAGAGATAGGATCTAATCCACATAATTTAATAACCATTCTGGCACAACATTCAATCATCTTGAGTCTACCCAGTAATTATTGTAGGATATTTATGAAGACATAATAGGATTCACAGTCAAAACACTATTTTGCCTTGGAAATATATATGTGTGAAAAGATATTAATTTTAAAATCAAGTTTAAGTTGACCATAAAATTAAATTTCAAAAATATAACAAGAACAACAAAATTACATTTGTGTAGAGTCTTTCATGTCAGGAGGACATGCCAAGGCTCTGGAAGCAAATTAAAAGCAGCACAATCACTCGGCAGCAACTTCAGCAGTGTTAAACACCTTCAGAAGGAAAGGGACTTTTATCCACTTTCTCACATAGGATTGTTCTGATGTTGTGACGTTCTCAAGGACAAAGCTTTCGATTTTAATGACTGGCAAGTTATTGAACACCTTGAAATTTGCAGTGATACCCCAGTCGTGCTTGCAACTTTTGCAATATAATTTTGACACTTTCTGAAAGTTGCCATAGCGTTTTGGTTTCGGATGAGGTTCATGTGTATAGCGCTCTTTGAATGATTGCTCAACAACCACATGATGCGACTCCTGAAAGGAAAACAGAAACTGATTTAGACATGGTTTCACAGTGCCTGTTTATGTACGGTAGAACACTATCCACATGGGGATTAAGATATGTGGAACAACTGAGTTGTGATGCTGACAAAAAACGTTGCGCATAAGATCACCAGAATCTTGATGCGACTGAACTGGTAATGCAAAATGACTGAATTTATTCCGCAATTTGTTGCAAGCACAATGGAGAGAATACCTCTCAATCTCTTGAACTTACTTTCTTCCTAACTCTTTCCTACTTTGTGCAGATAAAAGAGGCCTCTGCTATATTCATTCATAAATATGGTAGTTCTTGGTCGTCTAAAACAATAATTATATTTCAGATACAATTCAGACTTACCTCTATAACTCTAATACAATCAGAGCTGCAGGCATACTTTTTGCACTTTGCACACAGTAGATTATAACTGTCCTTTGATTTCTCTACACATCTCACTTTCGCTGCTGTACTTTCTCGCATCTGTTGTTCATCTACTTGAATTCTGTTAATCTTGGAGAAAAGACATTTTGTTTCTTAAAAAAAATCTGCAGCAAATTCCCTTCTCACTGATACAGTACTTAACTACTGTGCCTATAGTCACCTCCCTCATTCCCTTGCTTGGCATCCGTCCCCATCACTGTAAAGCACTCCGACATAATTCTACGTGACAGGGCTATATAAAGCCTCAAACCAGGCAATTTTTGTTTTGTAAGTTGGGCTCCAAATTTGTCTGTTAGATATTTGTTTTCTAGTGCTGATCAGCCAAGGAGAGTTGAAATTCACACCTCTCTCCCCAAAATTAACAAATTGGTGGCCTTGGTTCTTGAAGTGCTCTGGGACTCTACCCTGGGTGAGGTGCGCTATATAAATGCAAGTTACTGTTGCAAGTTTAATACTTTTTTTTTAAAAAAGTTGATTTTTGTGTAAAGTGAATATTTTGACGTGGGGTCTTTAACATCCACCTGAACAGGCAGACGGGAGCTCGGTTTAACATCCGAAGGATGGCATTAAAATATGCAAGCGTGACTAGGGAATCACTTCAAATTTCAAGGTGTTCAGTAACCCGCCAGTCATTAAACATCGTCACAAGACATCTGGGGTGATTAAGACATAATAATCCTTGCATTTGGTATAGTAACTTATCACGTTGTTAGGATGTCTCAAATTGCCTCACAAGATTTTATCTTGAAGTGTAGTGACTATGTATTTTTAGGTGCGCACAGCAGCCATAAAGTGAGTGACCAACTGAGACAATCGTCAGCCAGGCCATTGAGAGAAACTCCCTTCTCTTTTCGAATAGTACAATGGGATCTTTAATATCCATCTGAACAGGTAGAATGGAACTTGTTTTAATTTTTCATCCAAAAGACGATACCTCCAATAATGCTGCATATGTCAGCACTGCACTACAGTGCAAACTCAAGACTACGAGTTCAAAATCACCATGACATGGGACTTCAATCCACAACCTTCTGACTCCGAGGCTAAAGTGCTACCAACTGAGCCAGTCTGAAACTAGGCTGCCATATGTAGTTTAAGAAAACAAACAAGTTCTGATAAACAATTCCCAGCTTTTACAATTACCTTGGAGCAAAACATTGTCCTGTCCATCTGTTGCACCTGCTGAATAGCTCTGTACATCATCTTTTCTTGTAAATAATTGATTTCATCTCTCTCAGCATTTTCTCTCTTACTCGTGACGAGAATGCACTTGCTTCCTTCGGCTCGTCCCCGGCCTGTAACAATGACAAGTACAATTCAATAATCAATTAATATAATACAATACTAATAATCCTTGCATTTGATACTAATAAAATACTAATCCTTTGAGGCATCTCAAAGTGCTTCACAGAATGTACTCTAAAGTCAGTTGACTGTATATTTCAGCAAAACGGAGCAGCCAATGGCGCACAAATTTCTTTGAAGGGATTACTTATGGAAAGCGATTTACCAATCAACTAACAACCAGGTTCCTAATAATAAGTTATTGCTCTTTCCTCTAACACTGGGGAATATCCTTGTTACGCTCCTCTGCACTGCCTCTAAGGCCCGGGCTGCCCCCTTATATCGTGATCAGCACTGTATGCTGAGCGACCACATCACTCCCACCCTCGCTCGCCTCCACTGGCTCCCCATCCCTCAGAGGATCGAATTCAAGATCCTCATCCTCACCTACAAGGCCATTCATGGCCTTGCTCCCTCCTACCTCTCCGACCTACTATCCCCTACCTACCTACCTGCCCGTACCCTCCGTTCCTCTGGCTCTGGTCTGCTCCACATCCCCCGCCCCAACCGCCCTACCATCGGTGGCCGGGCCTTCAGCCTCTCAGCCCCGAGGCTCTGGAACTCCATTCCCCAGTGCTTTCGCCGCCTCCTCCCTTTCCTCCTTCAAGGCCGGTCTCAAGACCTTTCTCTTTGACCGTGCCTTCAGCTCCCCTCTTGACTCTACCCTCTCCTCGCTCCTTCCCTCCCCTCACCCTGACCGTTTCCCCGCTGCTCGGGTCCCGACCCAACTGTCCAGCGCCTTGGGACGTCCTCCCGACGTGAAAGGCGCTCTATAAATGAAATCTTGTTGTATGCTGTATCAAAGGTGCAGCCTGAGAAGAGCATTGTACAGCCTGAGTATAACATCTAGACATCTAAACTCTACTGATTTAGCAACATAGCCCAGCGTCCTGTTTACCCTGTTTAATGCTGTCTTACATTGCTTTGACATAGTGAGCAATGACGCAACACCCCTAGATCTTTTTCAGCTTCCCTTTTGGCAAGTTCTATCCTATCCATGGCGTACATGTGTTTCTTATTCTGGGATCCTATATGTAGTGCCTTGCATTTATCTGTATTAAATTTAATTTGCCAGTTGCTGTCTTTCAGCTGTGACATTAGACTGAAGTCCTGCTGGCCTGTTCAGGTGACCACTGAAAGATCCCATGACACTATTTAAAGAAAGGAGCCTCTCCCATTGCCCTGGCCAAATAGTCCTTTGAAGAGTAAACTTACTTGTGAAACTGGATACAAGCATTGGGTGGGGTGAGGAGCATTTGACCTGATGACATTTCTTACTTCAATGATGTTTTGCCCACAAAATATGCAGTCAATTCAACAACAACACCTTGCATTAATATAGTGCCCCTCATGTAGGGTAGAGTTCCAGAGCGCTTAACAGTGGCGGAAAAATGCTGAGCTGGGGGGAGGTAACAGTAAGCACAGTCAAAGAGGAAGGTTTTCAGGGTGGCAATAATCATATTCAAATCTGAAGAGTGGAAAGGAGGAGGCGAGCCACAAAATATACCGTCTATTCACTTCACAGTATACTTTGAGACGCAACCATGCAATAAGACTTTATATCAAATACAAATGCTTCACAGAATGTATTATCATCATCATCGTACCCACCTCTGGTTTGGATCATTTTTATAACGTTGCCCACATACTCATACAGCAGCACTAGATTGCACTGAGCAATGTCAATCCCTTCATCAGCAACGGAAGTCGCGATCAGGAGTTTGGTGCCAGAAGACTCTTTAAATAGTGTCAGCACCTCCTTCTGTAATGGTAGAGTCATTGCTGCGAAACACAATGGTCAATAATCATAATCAAATCTGGATTCAGTTTTTAACACTGAGTCAGTTGCCTACCTCTAGTTAATAACAGTAACAATAATAATCCTTGCATTTAATGCAGAGCTTAAAGAAAGTTAAGCTGGACTCCAAATCTCTTCAAGAGGACCACAAGGGCCAATTTTAAACTCTGAAAGAAGTGGGCAAAAAATGTTTATATAAAACGATTTGATGCAGAGGCAGCTAACTAGTGAAAGCTTCCCAGACAGATTGTGGAGGCTGAGAGCGTAGATGGATTCAGCAGCAGTTTTAGATGAGCTTTTTATGGTAAAAGCGATGGGGCAACATGTGAGATAAGGAGAGACGATTTGTGCAAATGGGCTTGGCTACATATCCTGTTGTGGCTGTTTCCTGTTCTGTACATTGTGATGCTCCAATATCGAGCCAATACTAATCAATAGATTTTAATTTTTTTTTTAAACTCCAGCCACTGACTAAATCTATTCAATACCAGAGGAGCACTTGCACGATGACTATCTACTTCCAGCAAAAAGATTGCATAAACATATTTTAAAAGCTGTTTTCCTGCACACTGGGAAGTGCTGGTGTAACAATAATAATAATCATTATTTTGATACAAACTATTGTCTCAGGATAGGCACTATCTGCTTCATATTGATTCCTTTCCTTAGAGGAATAAGGTATGTAAACGTATTGGAACTTCCTCCTGTGTAACTGAAAGGATTTCTGCTCTGTAAAAGAGCCAGCATAGACACAATGGGTCGAATGGCCATCTTCTGTGCTATAAATATCTATGGTTCAATGATTGAGAATAACCGTCGAACCAGTGGTGAAACTAGCAATGGAGTGGCACCAACAAAAAATGGTGGTCGGGCAATCACTGAAGGTTTCCATTCCTAGCTACTCTTTTCAAATATCATGCCTCCCTCTCTTCCCATCGCTCTGCGACAGGAAGAGAGCCGGAGTGGGAAATATGAGGCAGCGCGGAGAGCAACAGGTGAGAACATCTTGTGATACAGTGTATAGTTTGGCAAATGACAAGTGCATGTGACTGCCAAGATGGTGGAAGGCAAACTGGATGGATCTTGTTCTTTTTTCTTCTAGCAATTCTTATGTGGGCGTGAGAACGACCCAAAAAACGTCCCTATGTCCAAAACATCCGCCAGCAGACCTGCCTATCAGTCGCCCCACCAATAATGTGATTTTGTTCCCAGGAGACTGAATGTATCAATGTGTTCAATACAACAACTACACCACAGAATATAGTACCAGGGGTGTGATCCCTCCTGCCTCGGCCTAACAACAACTCTGGCTGTAGGAACTCTAACACAGGGCTTTCAGTTATCCACTTTTTCAATGCCTGAAAAATAAGAGAAAAAAATATTTTTGAGAAGGCGTTTATGCTAACAATGTTTATATCTAGTCAATGGTGGAGGGTGGTATTATACAATTCCTGAACATAATAAATGAATGTGGAGATGCCTTACATCTGCTAGAGCTCTTGTTTTGACGAAGAGGATGGTTTTGGTGTCTGGCTTGTTCGTGTATTCCTCATTCAGGATCGCCTCCACTTCATTCAGCTTGGGGTTATGGTATTTCGGTTCTTGGTCAATCTCAAGCAGTCGTTGCTTATTTTCTAGGACACAAAGAAATAAAAATGATTCCCAACTCGTGCCACAATATGGGACTCAATGAGTAGAGAGCTTTGCAGGGTAAACAGCCATTGGGCACATAGGAAGGACACAACAACAATAATAAACCTTGCATTTGATATTGCAACTATAATGTTGAAACAAGCCGTCTGAATGGTGAATGAGATTTCTGCAGAACTGATTTGATGTTTCTATATCCTATTGCTTCCAAGATAGTTTTTCCAAACACATTCCTTTAATATCCCATTTAAACCACTTGATATTTTTACTTAAAAGAAGACTTTTGTTAAGGTGCCACATGAAAGGCTTATTAGAATAAATAGAGTATGTGGCATTAATGGACAGATGGCAGCAGGGATAGAAGGTTGATTTAAGGATATCAAGCAGAGAGCAGAAGTACATTGTTGTTAGTCGGAATGGAGAGATGTAAATAGTGGGATCCCTCGACCACTGCTTTTCTCCAATTACATAAATGATCTGGAGTCTGATTTCTGTAACAATTTCTGGTACAATAATAATTCTTGAATTTCATATTATACTTTGTCATTTAATTGAGACGTCTCTAAGCGCTTCACAGAATATACTGTAAAGTGAATTGACTGTATATTTGTGGGCGAAACTTGGCAGCCAATTGCACACAGCAGTGTCTCACACACAGTAGTGGATTGCGTGACCACATCTTTTTTCTTTTTTTTTTGCTTACAAGGTTATTGACGACCTAAAAAGAGAGAGCATCGCAAAGAGTGAAGAAGATTGTAACTTCAACTTCTGGAGAACATAGACTAGTTGCCTGGGCAAAGAAATGACAGATGATGTGTAATGGGAGGAATAACAATGAGAGCAATAGAACGCTAAATCGTAACATTTAAAAGGAGTAGAAGAGCAGAGAGAACAAGGGGTTAACATACAATATCTTTAAAGGTGGGAAGGCAGGGGGACAATACCTTGAAGAAAGCTCATGGGATCCTAGGTTTTATAGATAGGGGCAAAAAATAAAACAGAGAGGTAATTCTTCATTTGTATAAATCATTAGTTAGACTGAAGTTGGAATACTGTGTTCAGTTTTAGTCATCCCACTTTAGGAAGGATGTCAGAGCCATGGACAGGATGCGGAGGTGTCCTACAACGATACCAGATTTAAAGATTTATGTAGGTTAACCTCACCTCTCTGCCCAATCTCCTAGTCTATGTCCTGAAGTTGCAGTTACAATCTTCACTCTCAGTGACCCTCTCTGTGTTTATAACATCAGTAAGCTTCTACCATCATCTGTAATAGACTCCAAAGCATTTATATAAATGGAGAAAAGCAGTGACCTTGTGGGATCTTCTGGATCCTGACCATTAATTATCACAGGGCTCCATTGTAGCTGCCTGGATCAGTATCACACTGAGGCGCATTTATGTATTACATCAACGGGGAAACCCTAAATGTGTATTTTTTCTTTACATATAAATGAAAATGTGAAATATCAGGAGTAATTAAACTGATAGAAGATTTCACCTTCAAATAGTGCTGTAAGTTCCCGTTCAGTCTCATCAAACCCGCCTCCCTTCACATTGTTAATAAATTGGTCCAAATACTCGACTGCGTCTTTGGTCCGAGCGTCCTCGTTGATAATCATAGTGTCATTATATTTCTGTGTTGAGGAAACAATACATTTCCAAACAATAATAATTATGATATTTAAATATGGTATAGCACCTTTCACATCAGAAGTTCGTCACAAAGCAACTTCAAGGAAGATACGGTGTATATTTGTGGGCGAAATGCGACAGCCAATTGTGCACAGTAATGTCCCACAAACAGTCAACAAGCGAGTGACCAAATTTTATCTGAGGGATTGTTGGCCAGGCCCACGTGAGAGAGAAACCCCTTTAACTTTTCGAACTGTGCTGTGTGATCTTTAACATCTTCTAAACGGGAGTCGAGACCTTGGTTTAACATCTCATCCAAAGGATGTCACCTCCAACAATGCGGCACACTCCAGTGTCGTCTTAGACAGTAGAAGTTCTAAGTCCTGACATGGAGCTTGAACCTACAACTTTCTGACTCAGAGAGTTCCAGCACCACCACATAATGTCACTGTCACACTGTATTCCACCACCAAAACAGTTCAAAACATGAATGCATTGCTACAGTGAATCCAATTGATCTTCAAGCTCAGGTCTGTCCCCCGCAGATAATAATAATCCTTGCCTCTGATGTAGAGTCTTATTACTTCAAGAATCACAAAGCGCTTCACAGAATATATATTGACTGTATATTTTGTGGACAAAACGTAGCAGCCAATTGCACACAGCAGTGTCCCACAAACAGTCATGGATTGAGTGACCAAATGTTTTTAACATTCTTTTTTTAAGGGATTATTACTCCGGGAAAGTGATCTGCCAATTGACTAACAACCGGGTTCCTATTTATTGATAGATAAACAGAGGCGTGTGGAGTAAGGAAACTTGCCCAATGTTTCGCTCACCCTGGGCATTGAACCTGGGTCCTCTTGTTTGTTAGGCGGGTGCTTTAAACACTAAGCTACAGGACTCCACAGGACCAGGGTAGACTCAGTACTGTGGGTGGGCTGGATTGGAGGAACTTGAAGAGGGAGTGGTGGAAGAAGAAGGAGTGAAGTTGGGAGGCAACAACTTGCTCCAGCACCTTGGGAGATGAAGGGCAGATTGGAGATGAGTTGGTAGCTGGAGATGTTGGTAGCAGGTGTCGAGGGAGAGTTTCTTGAGAAGGTGGGGTTTTGAAAGGGGGAGGGATTATACTGCCAGAGGAGAGACAGAGGTTAGCTGCAGGAGGGTAAGTTGAGTTGCCCAAGGATGGCACAATATCAAATACAAGGTTTGCTGAACTGCATCCGACTGAACAGGCAGACACAGATCACACTTTGATTACAGTGAAGGAAAACTCGCTCACCCTCAAGTGTTCAGTGTAAGTGAAGAGAGCCTTACAGATCCGCCTCTCTTCTTCCACATCTGCCATTTGCAACACTTTGCATTTTTTCTGAATCTCGACAATCCACTGCTCATATTTTTGTGTCCCCCGGGATCGATTGGGAATGCCTGACAGCGTATCTGCAAGGTCAAACAAGGTGTACAGTGTGAAAGATGAAACTGTATTCCAAGCAGCAACCCCAGCTGCACCAAGACCAATGTGCTTTGCCACTCACGTGCAGATGAGATATAATAACAACAATAATAATAATGGAACTCAACCTGGTATTAGCCCGGAGATCGTTTTGGCTTAAAATTCTAGATTACACAGAATTCTGGAATAACAGCTTCCAAAATACGACTGCATTTAAGAACTTCCCAATTATGAGCACAACTTGAAATTTCAAAATAATGATCTTAAGGTGAAGAAAATTAGAAATTTCAGGCCTCTGGGTGCTTGTAGTTCAATGATATAAATTTGTCAATAGCAAACTGCATTTGATCTGATCCTTCCAGTATACATTGTTACATTATCTTCTTCCCTTTGATTTGCTTAAAGCTGGTTACATTGTCGTGCTTATGAACTGGGGAAAACGGACTTCCAAATTAAGGCTGAATTAAAAGATTTCCACAATTCTGTGCGATATTACATTTAAAGACAATACAACAATAACAAATAACAACTTATAATAATAATCCTTGCACTTGATAAACAACAAAATTACATTTATAGAGCGCCTTTCACATCGGGAGGACGTCCTAAGGCACTGGACAGACAGGGGTCAGGACCCAAACATGGGGGAGGGATGGGGTAGGGGAAGGCAGAGAGGTGGGAGGTCGACCGAAGGCATGATCGAAGAGGGTCTTGAGACCGACCTTGAAGGAGGCAAGGGAGGAAGCGAGGCGAAGGGACCGTGGGATGGAGTTCCAAAGTCTAGGGGCAGAAAGCCCGGCCACCATGGTAGGGTGGGTCGGGCGGGAGACATGGAGCAGACCGGAGTACACTGAACGGAGGGAGCGGGCAGGTTGGAGGGGGCAAGGCCATGGATGGCCTTGAAACTGAGAATAAGGATCTTGAACTCGATCTTCTGGGGGATGAGGAGACAGTGGAGTTGGGCGAGGGTGGGAATGATGGGGTCACGGAGTCTGGTGCGCAAGAGTACATCAGCTGCAGAACTTTGGACAATCTGCAGCTTGTGAAGAGAAGACTTGGGAAGGCCAATGAGGAGGGAGTTTCCATAATCGAGTCTTGATATGCCAAATGAGTGGGTGAGGGTTTCGGTAGCCTGAGGGGTGAGGCAGTGGCAGAGTCTGGCAATGTAGCGGAGGTGGTGGTAGGCAGTGCCGGTCATGGCGCAGATGTCGAGGAGAAAGGACAGTTCAGGGTCAAACATGGTTTGACTGGCTTTGTGAGGTTGAATGTGCAGCCGTGGAGGCTGATGCTGCCAGCGCCCGAGGTGCGGAGGCGCTGGTGTGAGCCAATCAGGAGTGTCTTGCTGATGATGAGTTGGAGAAAGTGGTCCCTCGTCCAGGACTTGATGTTGGACAGGCAGTCGGTCAGGACGCCAGTAGTCCTGGAGTTGAGGGTTGTTAGGATTTAACTTTTTGTATAATGTTAGAATCATAATAGATGTTGCGAATGGGTTAACTTTTAAGTTAAGTGTGGGGGGCAACTGGACTGACAGTCATGGGATAGGACACATCTGGTTTTCTCTGTTTTTGAAAGAATAATGGACAGGGGCAGGGGGTCACCTCTTATCAGTAAATGACAACAAGCCCACAGAGGTAACGGTCCAAGGCACCGGTCAACACAGGATCTCAACTGAGCAATAAGTCGCTAGATTCTGACAGGGCCAGCCAACCGACAGAAGGCAACCCTTAAGAATAGCAACTAATGAGCAAGTTGCTTAAACTGGAGGACCTTGGTACCATCCCGGGATACTGATAAGGAATAACCAGTCACTTAAAAGGAATGCACTAATGATCCCACACCACAAAATAATGAGCACCAGATACAGCCCTAAACTGATCAATCCTCTATCTTAGACAATTAAGGACAATGTGTATGTGTGCTGAGGCACGTACACCCCATGGGGTGTTCACGTGAACCCAGCATGATTTTGGCCCAGTGACCTAATGTCCGCACCATGATTGGAAGGACACAAGCTTAAGACACCGTGCCAGACCAAGATCGGCACGCCCAGGACAGTACCTATCGTGGATGGAAGACTGAGAGCTAGAAGTCAGAAGTAGACGACCACGAGGAGGGATTATGCGGTAGTATTGTTCTGTTAGTGAACTGATTGATTGTGCTTACTTGCCCACGCCCATCGGGAACTTGGACGGATCCTGGAGTTTAATAAACACCACTCTGGTTGCAAACAGTGGCTGTGTTTGATTGGAACTCGAAAAGGTTTTTTTTTCTTAACAGGGTGGAGGCAGAGAGATAGAGTTGGATGTCATCCGCAAACATGGAAATTTACCCCATGTCTGCAGATGATGTCACCAAGGGGGAGCATGTAGAGGGTGAAGAGGAGGGGACCGAGGACAGAGCCCTGAGGAACACCACACGAGACAGTGAGGGGGCTGGAAGAGAAGCCGTTTGCTGCGACGAAGTGGAGGTGATGTGAAAGGTAGGACCTGAACCAGTCAAGGGCAGAACATTGGAGGTTGAGGTGGGAGGAGAGGCAGTGGAGGAGGATTGAATGGTCCACAGTGTCAAAAGCAGCGGAGAGATCGAGGAGGCAGAGGGAACCCTGGTCAGGATGTCATTTGTGACCTTGACCAGAGCAGTTTCCGTGATATAGCGCCTTATCACGAATTTACAACGTCATAAAGCGCTTCCTAGAATATACTGTAAAGCAAATTGACTGTATATTTCTGGGCAAAATGTGGCAGCGTTTCACACAGCAACGCTGTATGCAACAATTGCACATAGCAGGGTCCCACAAACAGTCATGGATTGAGTGACCTTTTTTTTAAAGGATTACCACAAACCGCTAATCGACACATTGGATATGTTACTCTGGGAGTGGAATCTTTGACCCTGCAATCCCTCAAACAACAACAATACGGTACATTTTGCTTATTTACGCAATTAATCCTCAATTTGAAGCATTGCTGAGAAGGACTCTGTCATTTGCAGTTTCACAAGTGAATGGGTCAGAGGAAGGTATCAGTTACCAATATTATAGACACTCCTGGCCATCTCCTCAATGCGCTCCATGATCCCAAAAATAATATCTGCAAAAGGATCCTTCACACGACAGCCGATTTCTCGAATATCTGCTCAGGAAGAGAAGGAAAAAGGTTTTAAACAACACAGTTTATATTCACACTGAGAGGATAATAATGATAATATGGCTAAAAGGCTCACACAGTTGACTTAACTGGGCAACCGAGTTAGGGGAGGCAGGGGGAGAGGGAAAAAGATGACTGGAAACACAGTTGAAAAGGTAAGACTTTCAGGCAGGCTTTCAAGGTGAGGAGGGAGGAAGGAGGGACCCCGAATGGAATGCCAGAGGGCAGGAGCAGAAATGGCTGATGGGCAAGATTTCAGGGGCATCACACATTGCACCTCTCCCAGGCGTCTCACAGCAGTGTAGCCAGACAAGAGTCCAGACTTTCAGCAGGATTGCGCAGTAATACACTTACGTTTCTCTGAAACAAAGACAAACTTCTCCAGCTCAGTCAAGTTCTCTCTCACAGTGGATATGGTTTCCATATCAAGGTTGGCACAAATTTGAAAAATATGTTGCATGGTTTCCTGGACAGTTTTGGCATCACCAACTCCAATCGATGCAGTCAATCCAACGATCTACAGGATAATAAAAATACTGTAATATATTTCAAGATCACGTACCCCCAGGCTATCCTCCCTCACATGGAATATACTGGTATGTGAAGGGTATGTGAAGCTTGAAATATAGATTTCAGAATATACCAAAGAACAGCGTGCATTAAAATTTATGCATACAATAACCAATAAACATTTATACAGCGCCTTTCCGGTCAGCAGGACATCCCAAAGTACTGGACAGTCCAGGTTTGTAGCCGAGCTGGGGGCCAAGGGAGGGGTTAGGGTGGGGGTTGTGGGCGGGAAAGACCAAAGGCACGATCAAAGAGGAAAGACCTTAAATATACAATAATATTGTACATTGAAAGATTCCTCAGGATTTTCCTTATTTATTTGACTTTTGTACTTTAAGTCACGATCCTATTCAAAATTTCTCAACGGCATAATTTCTCTCTTTTAAGTGGAGTCTGCGGTTTCTTCACCTCCGCTCAGTGCTGAGCAGAACAAGCACGAGTGTAGGCCGACACTCACCTGTGGTAAGGGCTCCGAGTCTGTACTGAGCTTGGCGTCCAGGTATTGCTGCATTAGGACATTGTAGGGGTGACTTTTAGCCGTGTTGTGGCATTCATCAAATATCAGCAAGGTGAAGATGGACAGGGATGGGATGGTGCTGGTCTTGAGACAGTTTAAGAGGATCTGAGGCGTGAAGATCAGGATGTCGTTCACCTCGACTAACATCTGCGCGGGAGCATGCTCCGCAGACTCACCACACAGCCCAGCCACTTTGTAACTGCAAGACAGAGACACAGGTAATTCAGGCACATTGAGTTCTAAGGTGCGATCATTTCAAACAAGACTCCTCTATAATTTTTCCTTTGGTCAGCTGGGTCTCTGGCAAGCAACGTATCAATATTATATCATTCTTTGGGATTAGTTACAGTGCTCGGCTCACAAGCGAGAGGAATCAGGTTTGATTCCAAGGCTGCGGGCGTGGGCTGCGCTCGGCCGGTGGGGGGGGCTGCGCTTGGGCGGGGGGTGGGGGGTTGCGCTCAGGCGGGGTTGTGTTCAGGTGGTACCTGGTGTTCTGGAAGTAGTCAGTGAACAGGCGGCTCTGCTGCTGGTAGATGGGCACTGTGGTTGCCAGGAAGACAACCTTCCTCTTCTCTTCGAGCATGTCCTTCAGGTGATGCTCACAGATGGTCAGGGCGACTAGTGTTTTGCCGCAGCCTGGATTGTCATTTCAAAAGCAAATTCACAAAATCAATAAATGGATGAAATAAAACCATTTAGTTTACACTTGTACAAAAGTGCCCGTGTTGTAACTGCACGTTGATGTACTTGGGGAGGAGTGAACGAGCCAAGACTAATTGATGCTCGAGTTAAATCCATCCTGTGTACTCATCGTGTCCTTTCTTGCTCATGACAGAAAGGTTTTATAGGACAGAGCAGAACAGTGGCGATGGGTGTGAATGGCAACCTGCTGTGGAACAGGGTGGAAGGATATGTGCCCACGCTGGATATGGGGCGGATGGGGGTGGGAGAGGAAAAGAGGTCCCTAGCTTCACGCAGTGTTTGGACTGTGAGATTCCAGGCAGAGGGTATGGGAGTGGGTCACTTACCCACCTCCTGCCCAGACAGAACACGACAAGGATTGAATAGTACGAGGCACTCTCCAAACACACTTCTCTTCCATCAATAATACAGGGAAGGACTTCAACAGAGTCAAATGTATTTAAAGGGTATTTAGGTAGACAGATTGTCTACAAAGTCCTGTTACTCCCTGTTGCAAAACAGTGATACAAGACTACAGAGGAGCTGAAACAAGTTGTCAGATATGCATTTCACCTCCTCACTCCATCGTGTTATGGAAGATGTCGCACCAAACATGGTGACGGATCATTATCTGCCATGAAAACGAGGGCGCTCAAACACTGATCCTCTGCATGTCTAAATACAGTTAAACACTTGTACTGAACACAGTGAAGTACTCCTAAATACAATTATCATTATTCTTCCACATGTTTCAGTTGTTGGTCAGCACTGTAAGAAAAAACATGGGGGTAACAGGACTTTGTGAACAGCTAGAAGATACTGAGAGGTATTTAACCACCAGTAGAATCGAAAACGTTCATTTGATCCTTGCTTGGTGGCTAGTAGTCTCTAATATTAAGTGAAGTGAATGTAAAATGTGGACTCAGCTCCTGCACTTAGCAGCTTGTTCACCCCAGTGCGTACCTGTCGGAGCGCAAATGATTGTGTTTTTCCCTTCGATCCCCGGCCTGGCCAGCTCCTTCTGGTATTCCCTCAGCTTCATATCCTTGACGTCAGAGGAGTTCTTCTGGTGTCTCTCTGTGGGAATGACAGGAGGCAGAGAAAGGGTTAACCAAGCCGGGAAAGGGGGCATGTAAACATGGCTGTTTGTTGATGTTTTTTTTGGAACTTACCAGGTGTCTTCAGCGAAGTAGAGTCAGTCATCACCTCTTTCATACCTAAGATGCGGTGTAAGGAAGAGGGGAAAGGTTACTTACATTTGGGTAGTGAGAGCCGTCATGTGTGTTTGTGTGTGGGTGTGAGAGTCCTACACACGTAGAAACTCCATCGCCATGCAGAAACTCCATACCCAAGGCGAACTAATGCCAGTTCCACATTTGCATGGAAATGTCCTTAACTGGGATGGAATGCAGTGCACATTCTCTCCTCGGTGCCGGAAAGTATCAGGCTCTTAGTTGGCAAGAGCTAGGGTTTGGGGAGGGGAAGAGGATGTGATCCCAGAATGTGGACTGGGGGCACTGCTGTCGTTTAGCATAATAATAATAAAACAATACATTTATCTAAAACCTCAGTGGGCGAGTCCAAAAAAGCAGGGGGAAAGAAAACTGTAGTTTATAAAGCACCTGCAGCACCCAGTGACAGAAGCAGCTGCACACACTGCTATGGTTTGAGCAACAAGGTTTGTTTTAGAAATTCTCTTAATAATTTACAAAATCCTTGCATTTGATATAGTGCCTTATCACGTCTTTGAGACATCTCAAAGCGCTTCACAGAATATACCGTAAAATGAATTGAGTGTATATTTTGTGGGCACACTGAGTGAAAGTTGGGGTAAAGATGAAATTTTAAATGTTTAGAAGTGCCGTGGATTGGTGAATACTTTGTGGTTAGCTTTTTGGCCCCCAATCTGGATCTTTCAACCCTCCCCCATCTACATCATCCTCATCCTCACCTACAAGGCCATTCACGGCCTTGCTCCCTCTTACCTCTCCGACCTACTATCCCTCTACTTACCCGCCCGTACCCTCCATTCCTCTGGCTCCAGTCTGCTCCACATCCCCCGCCCCAACCGCCCTACCATCGGTGGCCGGGCCTTCAGCCTCTCAGCCCCGAGGCTCTGGAACTCTATCCCCCAGTGCCTTCGCCGCCTCCTCCCTTTCCTCCTTCAAGGCCGGTCTCAAGACCTTTCTCTTTGACCGTGCCTTCAGCTCCCCTCTCGACTCTCTACCCCCTCCTCGCTCCCTCCCCTCACCCTGACCATTTCTCCCCTGATAGGGTCCTGACCCAACTGTCCAGCGCCTTGGGACGTCCTCCCAACTTGAAAGGCGCTCTATAAATCAATCTTGTTGTTGTTGTACATAGATGTATTATTGAGCTCAGTGCTGAGTGTGGTTACTGTGGGGGACATTAATGCACAGCGACCTGTTGGAAGCTGTGTGGATTTTCTCGTCAATAAAGAAAATCTATGAAGGAAAATATTTCTCTTTGAGGCTGTGCTTGTTCCCCTCCATCACTGCCCTGAGTATGTGGGAGTGTCAGAGACTGACTGACACAGAGCTCTATCCTAGGTAGCAGAGTGACCGAGAACTAACACACGGCACAGCAGGTACGGGGGAGACCTGCCTGGATACGGAGCTTCACACGCGTCGTCCTTGCCTGTCTGCTCCATGTAGTGAATTTCTTGTTCATGGATCAAGGAACTGCTACAGTCACTAGGCTCTGTGCTCATCTCATCTAAAGGAAACAACACAAAACATAGATTTGTACAGTGCCTTTCCTGTCGTAGTTGATCCTCCCCAGACATATCCCACCAGCAGCAGGGAACAAGCAGGTAGCGTTTATTGGGATGAGGGAGGAACACTGGGCAAAACATTGGGTGATGTTCCAATGACCCTAGCAAAAGATTGTCATTTTGTTTTAAAAATAAAGAAAGAGGCGGGAACTTGGGCGATAGGTCAGAATTTCAGCCATCCTGCCCCGACAGAATGGCTAGCTCCTCTTCTGAGCTATCTGTCACTATCAGTGGCATTGGGCACAGAGAGTGTCAGGTTAACACTGCTCCTGGGTAATGCCAGCAAGCGTGTCCAGACTGAGGAATTCCAGGCTACTGTCAAGTGTAGTGACTGTGTGTTTTATTGGCGAATGCTACAAACTGGTGCATGCACAGATCGCCAGTGTCATTTGGGATTAGGATAGGGGGAAAAGAGCCCCCAGGTGGAGAGATTGGAACCAATTTGAATTATTTAACTATTTTTTCCGTCAACATTTTCAGTCTACCTGAATCTACACACAGCAGGTCAGTGACTGCCACACTGTCGGACATCTCCAAAGCCAGGGTAAACGTTTTGTAGAAGGTCATTTTGTCCGACCTCTGCAAACACTCCAGTAGCTTTTCCGCACCAGCAGCATTGCCCTTGTTTGTTGTGAGCTACACAAATGAGTTGAATCAAGTCAGTGCTGTTCATTTTGGTTTCAGTGCAATAAGGCGAGCATTTGAAACGGTAGGAAACACCGCATTTGGCACATTTTCAAACCCGGAACTGTGACAAGCGGAAGGTGAAGGTGCTGTAGAAAGGCAAAGCTTCCCTCATACCTTTGTGTAAATCTGCATGAAGAACTAGAAGTAGCTGCATCTGCGTCTAAGATAATAATAATAATGTCCCACAAACAGACGTAGATTGAATGACCAAATTATTATTATTTATTTATTGGGTGGGATTACTACTGCCGGAAAGTTACCTGTCAGTTGACTAACAACCAAGTTCCCATTTACTGCTGGTAAACAGAGGCGAGTGGAGAAAGGAAACCCAATGTGTCTGGCTTAAGTGGCTTCCACTGTAATGCAATTTGAGCCCTAAAATTCCAAAATTCTTTTAATTTTTTCTCTTCTTGTCATCGGCTTTGTAAAACTTCTCTCTTCCTTACATTTCACAGCTGTTAAAATCTCTTAAACATGTCTCGTGTTTTACTGCATAAACCTCCAGACACCCATCAGAAAATTCTCCATGTCTTGTGCTTTTAACCCCTCTCTCTCTTCCTCAAATCACTTGACAGGTACTACACGGAATAAATGCTAACAAGAACTTGCACTTATATAGAGCCCTCCACACAGGGTAGTGTCTTGAAATTTTCACTTTATGTGCGACAGAGAAAGAGAAAAGCAATCTGATTATTTAGGAGGTACCTGTTGGATCTCCTCGCATTCCCTGGGCAGGAGACATGAGTTCATATAAGGAAGAATTTCGTGAGGTTTTACATTGTTAATAATAGTTGGCGTGACACGTTCTAAAAGCTTCTTGTGTCCTTTAAGGCTCTCAATTTCGGAAAAGTCAGCCATTTGAATGGCTTCTGCCAAACCAGTGTAACCTGCAAACACAAGGTGCAGAGCATCACAACACTTTACTCGCCATCCAGCTTATGTCACGGCCTCTAAATGCTGTCAGGGCAGCAATCAATGTTGTGGGACCAAAAGAGAGAACAGGGAACTGAATGATAGGACTAAGTTTCCATTCTGAATAGGTTGGTAGTATTCGCTATCTGCTGAGTGGAGACATTTGACCAAAAGGTGGAAAGGGAAAAAAAAAGGACCCGTCAATAGCGGATAGCATAGAACCCAAGACAGAGGTCAATTACGGGATGTATCCCCTCAGTTAAGAGTAGGTGACTGTTGGCAGACTACTCGACTATGGAGGGCAACACAGCCAAGCCTGACCTTTCCCACCCTCTGCCATACACACACAGGACCAGTAGCGGGTGGTGTAAAAGGACCATTCCAGGAATCCTAGGAAGACGAGATCCAATCTAGCCTCCCCATACAGCCCGATCCTCCGGATATCTAAACTCAGCATGGACTGGAGTTCCAACTTCCTGGTCCATAAGCTGGGACTCCAGTAAAATACCACGTCTCTTTGACCGTGCCTTCAGCTCCCCTCTCGACTCTCTACCCCCTCCTCGCTCCCTCCCTTCCCTCACCTTGACCATTTCCCCCTTGCTCGGGTCCTGAGTCCAGTTGTACAGCGCCTTGGGACGTCCTCCCGACGTGAAAGGCGCTCAATAAATGGAATCTTGTTGTTGTTGTTGTTGTTGTTGTCTCCCATTGTTAGGATTAGATTAAATAAAATATTAAATTGGAAGTAAAATAATGATCATTATGTATTATACCTATTGCTTTAAAGCCATAATAAAAGTCTCACTAACCTGCTGCTGTAAGTCCATCTAAAAATCCTTGAAACCAGCCTTGTTCTTCCACTTTGAACAGACAGTCTAGAAAGAGCTCTGCAGAGGTGGTGACTGACTTCTGTTCTTCTGATCGAATCTGTTCAATGTCAGCTGGGAATAAGAGAGGATTGCAGAGAGTTTAACATTATACATCCAAACAGTAGAGATGGAATGTCTAGGCAAACAAAATGTGCATGTCAGCAAGGAAAGAAACTGCTTTTATGCAATCCCAGTGGCACTCCTTGTTACAACACAGCAAATAGAAACAGTGAATAAATCTCCCTTGACCGACTGGAAATCTCTGTGAACCCACTGCCTTGTTGCTCATTCAGAAGGGAACGGTTTAGGATATTTCATTGCTTTTATACTGTTGGTTGTCTGACAGGAGCGAAACCTCATCATCATATTTAAGAGCATTCAAACCAAACTACAGGGTGGCCACAAGATCCTGTTACAAAACAGTGGTATAACACTATGGAAGAGCTGACACAAGTTGTCAGAGATGCATTTCACCTCGTCACTCTATCCATGTTATGGAAGATATATCACTAAGCATGGCGACGGATCATTAAATGCCATGAAAGCGATGGCGCTCACACACACTGATCCTCTGGATGTCTAAATACAACAAAACACTTGTATTGAATATAGTAAACCACTCTTAAATACAATCATCATATTTCTCCACATATTTCAGTTGTTGGGTCAAAAAAAAAATCCTGGGGGTAACAGGACTTTGTGGACACCCTGTACAGCTCTGTGACCAGCACATGAACATGCAAATATCCATACATGTAGAAGGAATGCACACTCTCTTCCTGGAGAGAGATATCTGCTTATTTACCTGATTCCCTGACCACATACAGTAATAAAAACAGGTGACACACGACCTCTCCCCTTCTGGTCGATTCAGATGCAATGCATTGCTTTTATTTGCAAGATTTTAAAATGTAATTGAAAACTTTTAAATGAAAACAATGCCCTGTATCTGAATCAGTCGATTGAAATATGGTATAAGACAACAAACCCGTGGTTTAAATGCTGTTTGAAAACCTGTGCTGTTCTGGGGTCGATTTACTCCACACCAACAACTTATTACCAACAATGATACACAAAATCAGCACTGAGCAAAACAACTCCCTGAGCAACAGCTGTTCAACCCCATAAAAGCAGCTCTCAACCCCCAAACAAACAAAACCAGCAAATGCAACAAAAGCTCACATACCGGATGAAATAAAGTCTACGAGATGGGCCAAGACATAAGAGGGGCGAACGATGCCGGTGATGTATGTTTTGTAGAGGCGCAGCAAATCCTTATCCGTTTCCTTCATTCTCCCACCGTGTGCGACACCGGCGCTGTGTGCGCTCAGCCCTCAGTGCAGAGGCGCTCACTCCCTCACTGCCTCACTCCCTCACTGCCTCACAGCCTCACTGCCTCATAGCCTCAATCCCTCACTCCCTCACAGCCTCACTGCCTCACAGCCTCACTGCCTCACTCCCTTATAGCCTCACTCCCTCACTCCCTCACTGCCTCACTCCCTTATAGCCTCACAGCCTCACTGCTTCACAGACTCACGCCCCTCACTGCCTACGCCACTTCCAGTAAATCACATGCTCCCTTTCTGGCTGCTGCTCCCCAGCAGGAAACAGAGAGTGAAACTTATCTCAGAGCCAACCAGCCTTTGCCAGGAATAGAAACTGCAACAAAGAAACACCCGTTAATATTCCAAACCGTTTCCTTATTGCACACTCAACAACAACATTACAATTGTAAAGCGCCTTTCACGTCGGGAGGACGTCCCAAGGCTCCGAACAGTCGGGGGATCAGGACCCGAGCGTGGAGGGCAGGGTTGGGGTAAGGGAGGGCAGAGGGGGTAGGAGGGTGGCTGAAGGCACGGTTGAAAAGAAGGGTCTTGAGTCGTGCCTTGAAGGAGGCAAGAGAGGGGGCAAAGCGAAGGGATTGTGGGATGGAGTTGCAGAAGGTGGGGGCAGAGAGGCTGAAAGCCCGACCGCCGATGGTACGGCAGGTTGGGCGGGAGACATGGAGTAGGCTGGAGCCCGCTGAGCAGAGGGAGCGAGCAGGTTGATAGGGAGTCAGCAGGTCAGAGATGTAGGAGGGGGAAAGGCCACGGAGGGCCTTGAAAGTGAAGATGAGGATTTTGAATTCTATCCTCTGGGGGATGGGGAGCCAGTGGAGTCGGGCGAGGGTGGGAGTGATGGGGTCACAGAGCCTGGTGCGGGAGAGGACACGAGCTGCAGAGTTCTGGATGACCTGCAGCTTGTGGAGGGAAGCCCTGGGATGGCCGACAAGGTGGGAGTTTCCGGAGTCGAGCCTTGAGGTGACGAAGGTATGTGTGAGGGTTTCGGTGGCCTGAGGGGTGAGGCAGTGGCGGAGTCGGGCAATGTTGCAGAGGTGGGGGAAGGCAGAGCAGGTCATGGCACAGATATGGGGGAGAAAGGACAGTTGAGGGTTGAACAAGACGCCCAGGTTGCTGACTGGCTTGGTGAGGTGGAGTGTGCAACTGTGGGTACTGATGCTACTAGTCCCTGAGGGCCATTGGTGCGAGCCAATCAGGAGGGCCTCAATCTTGCTGACATGTCAGCTGTAGAAAGTTGGCTCTCATCCAGGACTTGATGCCTGACAGACATCAAGTCCCAGTCTGTCAGGACCTCAGTCTGTCAAGGGTGATGGCAGAGAGATAGAGTTGGGTGTCATGCATTTACATATAGAAGTTGACCTCGTGTCTGCGGATGATGTCACCAATGCAGAGCATGTAGAGGTTGAAGAGGAGGGGATCGAGGGCAGAGGCCTGAGGAACACCACACAAGACAGTGCGGGTCTGGAAGAGAAACCGTTGGGGGAGACAAATTGGAGACGGTGTGAGAGATAAGACCTGAACCATTCAAGGACAGAACCTTGAAGGTTGAGGTGAGAGGAGGAGGCAGTGGAGGAGGATAGAGTATTCCACGGTATCGAAGGCAACAGAGAGGTCGACGAGGACGAAGAGGCATAGGGAGGCCTGGTCACAGATGGTCAGGAAGTAGGTACCCGGTTGTTGGTCGATAGGTTAGTTGTTAGTCTAGTAAGTAGGAACCCAGTTGTTTGTCGATTTGCAGATCGCTTTCCAGGGGGTAACAATCCCTCCAAAAAGAAGAAATAATAATAATTTTTGTCATTCACTCCATGACTGTTTGTGGGACACTGCTGTGGATTTTGCGCACAAAACATACAGTCAGTCTACTTTACAATACATTCTGTAAAGCGTTTTGAGACGTCTCAACGACGTGATAAGGTGCTATATCATATACTATGATTATCGTTATTATCTGCACAGCAGCAAAGGACAAGAAGGCATCGAGGGGAATACAAGGGGAATATAAGCATAATTGTAAATCGGCGCCTTTGGACATCACAACGTTGCATATTAATTGCAATTTGTTTTTATTGTTGTTGGAAATATATACATGATTATATTTTCAGTGCCTTGGGACATCCTCCCGACCTGAAAGGCACTTTACAAATCTAATTTGTTGTTGTTGTTGTTGATTACGAGTACAGTATAAACATTATTATGAATCTCTTCCAATGACCTTCCATCTTCGGCTTCCAGGATTATAATTTTCTCCCCATCCCAAGAACGCACACCCTTAATCCTTACCCCCACCCCCTCCCTTTATAAAGATGCAATGTCCTCCACCTAGTCTCTGGGTAGCTGCATCAATAGCACCTCCTGATGCCCTTCATAGTGTCAGCTCCTCACACTCCATGGAAACCCAGGCCCCTCCTCCCCTAGCCAAGCACTTGCATTTACACAGCACTAGAGAGGATTAGACATGGAGGGTGGAGCAAGGTTGTGGAAGTGTTTGAAAACAAGGATGCCTGTCATGGAATTGATATGCTTTTATAATAAAATAATAATAATCTTTGCATTTGATATAGCGCCTTATCACGTCTTCGAGACATCTCAAAGCGCTTCACAGAATATCCTGTAAAGTGAATTGACTGTATATTTTGTGGGCGAAACACAGCAGCCAATTGCGCACAGCAGTGTCCCACAAACAGTCGTGGATTGAAGTGACCAATTTTTTTTTTAAAGTAATTATTACCCCCGGAAAAGCGATCTGCCAATCGACTAACAACCACGTTCCTACTTGCTGCTTGGTAAACAGAGGCATGTGGAGTAAGGAAACTGGCCCAATGTTTTGCCCTGCCGGGAATCGAACCCAGGTTTCTCACTTGCGAGGCAAATGCTCTAACCACTGAGCTACAGGAATTCACTGGACCTTGGCAATAATTAGGTGCAGATTGGCAAAAGCCAAGGTTTGGGGTCCCCAGACTAATATCGGAGTCAGCCCGAGCAATAGTATCCATCCAATGCACTCTTGCTTCTGGATCAGAAGGTCATGACTCCAGGCTCCAGATCATCTCATCTCAGCAAAGAACGACTGTCTCATTGTCACCTGTGACAATGTGACACTCCCCCAGTACTGCACTGGAATCTCCCCTGATAAGACTGTGGCTCAAAGCCCCAATGTGGGGTTTGAATCTACAATGTTCTGCCCCAGAGGTGATAATGCACCATGAAATTCTCTCATCATTTTAAACTAAAATAAAATAACAATAATTGAACTTAGTCTTTCACATCAGGAGGATGAATCAAAGCCTTTCACGGGATTTATTTAAAGTGGAGTAACTGTGCATTCTGTAGGCAAACACAGCAGGCAATTCACATAGCATTGTCCCGCAAACACCCATGAAATAAATGACCAATTTTATTTGGGAGATTGTTGGCCAGGATACTGCAGAAACTCCCTTCTTTTTTTGAACAGTGCCATGGGATCTTTAAGGTCCATCTGCACTGGCAGATGTGACCTCGGTTTAATGTCTCTTCAAAGGACGGCACCTGCGACAATGCACCAAACTCCCAGCACTGCATTGGAGTGTCAGCCTAGACTGTGTGAGTTAAATGTCCTTTCCATAGGATAATGTCTTGAAGCACTTTACAGGGATTGTGTGGGAAGTTACGCAAGGTGGGAAGGAGGTGTGACCCTAGACATGGTTGAAAGGGTAGGTTTCTAGAAAGGTTTTGAAGACAGGGAAGGAGGGTGCAAGGCAGATAGATTTTGGGAGGGTGTTTCAGCGTTTGAGGGAAGCTAAAAGCTCAACCTCCAATTGTGGGTTGGAGGACACAAGTTGCGAAGCTGAGAGAATACTAGCAAATTTACTCAATTCAGACAAAAAGGATCTTTCAACCAACTCTTTGACTATTTTTATATCACAGATCTGCTGGCGACTGTATTGCCATCGCAGGATGACCATAATGTAAAAATACTGATCGACCTCGAGTCCCTCATGACTGAATCCTTCTGGGTCGTTTTTTCTGCTGTAGCCAGCAATTCCATAGGTAAATTCTCAGCGGTCCACGGTTTGCATTTGAGGCACATGCAGAGTATTTGGAGTGGATTTTTTCAATTGCTGCTATCAAAAATGACAGTAGTGGAACTGGGGAAAAAACCTATGAATAAGATCATAGGGATTTTGAATTCATAGTCTAGGTTGACACTTCAAGGCAGTGCTGAGGTTGCCCTGCTTCGCTGGAGGTGTCGTCCTTGAGATGAGATGTTAAACCAAGGCTCCGTCTATCTGTTCAGGGTGGCGTTAAGATCCCATGGCACTGTTCAAAAAATGAAGGGAGTTTCTCCTGGTGTCCTGACTAACAATCCCCATAACTTAGTGGATAGTCTGTGCCATTTGTGGAGTCCTGTAGCTCCTGTAGAGCACTCACCTTGCAAGTGAGAGACCTGAGTTCAATTCCAGGCAGGGCGAAACCTTGGTCAAGTTCCCTTACTCCACACACCTAATAATAATCCCTCCAAAACAAAACAATAATAAATTGGTCATTTTCAATTCACGACTGTTTGTGGGACACTGCTGTGCGCAATTGGCTGCCGCGTTTCGCCCACAAATATAGTCAATTCACTTTAGAGCATATTCTGTGAAGCGCTTTGAGACATCTCGAAGACATGAAAAGTGCTGAATCAAATGCAAGGATTATTATTATTATCATATAAAATTGTTTGTTCACTTCATGGTTGTTTGTGGGACATTGCTGTCCACAAATTGGCTGCCGCGTCAGTCTACACAAAAAATTCTGTTGAGTATTTTAAACCATACTCCCATCCTCAGCTACCAATGTTTTGGTAGTGATTGATGGTGGGAGTTGGAGGGGAGAGAAAGAGAAACAAAGGAATTTCAAATGTAAGAACTGCAGCTGAACAATAAGCAGCTCTACTTGAGCGTTGGTCGTGGACAAAGGTGCTGTTATATAAAAGCAGCGTCACTCTACAAACAACACTAGTTAGGTTATCAGTCATAAATCGATCACTAAACATTTACCACTTTAAATTAAGATAACTTTCTTCTGATCGGTGTGATTGACACCCAGTATACAATTCATTAACTTTCAATGT